GAGAGGCATTTGGAGGGACAAAGGTATAAGAAAAAGTGTCCAATACTCCTAGGGAACTTTAACTTTATTTCTCCTTTTTTTATCCCCCTTCTGGTCCTCAGGAAAACGCTTCGTGCCGCCCTGAAAACCAAGGAGTCAGGAGCCATCCTTTCCACACACCACATGGAGGAGGCGGAGGCAGTGTGTGACCGTGTGGCCATCCTGGTGTCGGGGCAGCTAAGGTGGGAATGCAGCTGAGCTAGAAAACAGGGGCTCCTCCTCCAGCTTCACCTACGTGAGCCCGTCACCGTGGGCTTTACTAAGTGCTCCCTGTGATTTCACCAGTTTGGGAAGGAGCAGATGATGAGGCACCAATGGTTTCACATGCGCATCTCTTCTTTTTCCTCCCCTCCTGCAGGTGCATTGGCTCCGTTCAGTACCTGAAGAACAAGTTTGGCAAGGGCTATCTGCTGGAAATTAAGGTGAAGGATCTGGAGCACGCTGAGCTTCTGCATGCTGAGATTTTGAGGATTTTCCCAAGCGCAGCCCGTCAGGAGCGGTAACTATACAATATGGGATGAACAGTGGTTTCAACACAAATTCATCCCTGAAAATGTGCCCAGTGTGATGGCCAGACTCAGGATCTCAGCTGGAGATGGATGACCAGCTCAGAGACCCTGTCTGGGGATCTGATTCGATAATGTCACCACATCCAACCGTGCTGTGACCACTGCAGCAAAACATGCACATATCCAGCTCATAGCATGACATAAAGTTTTGATGCCAGGACCTCAGTACAGACCAGGAATCATCTTTTCTTCTTTTTCTTCAAGGTTCCCTTCTTTGCTCGTCTACAAGGTCCCAGTGGAAGATGCACTGCCCCTGTCTCAATCTTTCTCCAAGCTAGAGGAAGGTAAAAGCAAAACAAGGTGACTTTCTGAGAAGGTGAAACACAGACTGTCATTTTTTGACTCTCTTTCCGTTTCTCCACAGCCAAACAAAACTGCAACCTCGAGGACTACAGCTTCTCTTTGAACACTTTGGCTCAGGTGGGTGATTTCAAGGCTGGATATGCTGTAAAGGCACGAGTAGGAAGAAAAGCTGCAGTGATATCTGGTGGAGCAATGAGGCTCCACCAAAAGACTGTTGGGGGGTGGCGGGTGATGGATCCTCTCCTGGGAAAGTGGTGGAAAATGGGCTGGGTTTTTTGCACTGCAGGGATTTCACATAATGGGAATAAGTGTAGGCAAATTGTTGCTGCCTGGCTCCCCTCACCCAAGTCAGCACAGCACATCTTGTCCATTTCAGGTGTTTCTGGAACTCTCCCGAGAGCAGGAAATGGATAATTTTGACCAAAGTTTGGATGGGGCTTTTGAATGGAATCAGCTTCAGCAGGAGGACTGTTAAAGATCCAAGATGCTCACTTACGCATTACTCCATACTAACCCAATGTGATACTGTGCATATTTACTATCATTATCAGCGTACCATGAAGAGGAATAGCAGCTTTACCTTTCCAGCAAGCATCTGCTGAGGGGTCCTCTCCAATGCAGAAGACTTTTCACCTGGACATTGCAGGTGCCTACATTAAGCCCGACCCCAACCAGCAATTTCCAATGGCTGGTTGATGAAGCAGTGCCTGCATTGATGAAAGCTCTCATCAAACAGAGCAGCACACAGCAAAGGGACAAAGAGGTTTGCAGGGATCATAACCCATCTATGGGGATCGGGGCTCTGCTTTGCTCAGTAGATGTGGGTGCATCAGGGAATTCTGAACGTGCTGCCAACTTTCTGGGCTCCTCTCCCACCAGTGTGGGGGGTTATTTACCTACGATGTGTTTTAAATGCATCTTAATGAAATTTGCACTCTATTTTTATACCCTTCCAATAAATGTCTCTATAGAAACTGCCTTTACAGCCTCATATGTCATCATTGCTGTGGACCATCAGAAACAACTCAGACTGCTTCCCATGGGGATGGAGGTGGCTACAGAGGTGTAAAAGCTACTGGTCAGGCTGTTGTGGTCCCTCCTGTTTGCTGTCTCCATCAGCCTGGAGAAGAGAAAGCTCTGCAAAGATGCTGTAACAGCTTTTCCTTACTTAAAAGGGGCTTATAAGAAAGATGGAGGCAAACTTTATAGCAGGGCCTGTTGTGATAGGAAAAGAGGAGATGGTTTTAAACTAAAAGAGGGTAGATTTAGACTAGATATAAGGAAGGAATTTTTTACAATAAACAGTGAGACACTGGAACAGGTTGCCCAGCAAGGCAATAGGTGCCTCATCCCTGGTAACATTTAGGATCAGGTCAGACAGGGTTTTAAGCAGCCTGTTCTAGTTGAACATGTCCCTGCTCACTGCAGGGGGGTTGGACTAGATGGTCTTTAAAGGTCCTTTCCCACCCAAACCATTCTATGATTCTATTATTCTCCTCCTGACAACTCAGGCACATTTTATCCCTGAGCCCAGCTCCTTTGCAAAGGTTAAAACTCCCAGAACAAGGGTGGCCGAGTTCTCTTTATGTGATCTGCAGCAGTGGCTGTGTTGCAATCACTGCTTGGGTCTGCTCCCCACTTGGCTTCGAAACAGATTTTGGCACTTAGAGGACACAGAGGGCTCGTGATTGTTTCCCTGCTGATTGCACAACAGCTCCATCTGTAATCCCCACCCCTGGGAAGTGCAATCACCAGCACTGCAGTCACCTGTGCACACACTCAGCTCCAGGAAATGGGAGCTCAGGGAAAGGGAAGAGGTCTTTGAGTGATGTAAAGAAACAAACAGCAACAAAAGCCCCAGCTAAGTCCTGTTCCAGAGGGAACACCTCTGGCATCTGAATGAAGAGGAGCGCACTGGGATTCAGGCAAGACATGAAAGCAGAGAGCAGGGCTGAGGTATGAAACCCTGTGGCAATTGCATTTCCTCCTCTGGGGTGAAGAGCATTTCCTGCCTTGGCTATTCCTTCCAACCCCTCTTGCATAGTTGTTTCTTGCAAGGAACTACCACCAACCCACTGCATCCTCTGCTACCACAGGTTTGAGAGACTGTTCTTCATTGTATTTGGGTCTTTTCATTACAGGGGAAGATGAAGCAAGCAGAGCTGGTTCCATCATCTCCTGCACAAGGAAGAGGAGGAAAAGGACCCACAGGAAGTCCCTCAAAGGCCAGCTGGTTGGAGCTGGGGCATCAGGGGGATAGGGCTCATGGCACTGGCAGCACACAGTCAAGATTTCCAGGTCCTGGCCTGTGGCCAGTGCTTGGAGAAAGAGGTTCTGTCACCAGCACAAAGAGGAATTCTGCTGGCAAAAGGGAACGAGCAAAAGTTCACAAGGACTTGACTTTTCCATTGAAAAACAAAAAGAACAAGAGAGAGATTTCCTGGAAATGAACTGGCTGCTGAAATAATCCCTTCAGAGGAATTCCACCTCCCTCCTTTGCCCTGCCCTGAGCTGGGGGGGGTGACAGGGAACATCCCCAGGAGCTGCGGTCTCTGTACCTGCTCTGTGAGAGGTGGGAATGCCCTGCTTCAGCATGCAAACCAGCTCCAAATCTGGCCTAACATTTTGGTTCTTCTCCTTGTTTTCCAGCACATCAGGAGCCCTCCATGCACACGGTGTCTCTGCTGATAAACCTGAACCAGAGCATGCTGGCTGTGCCGCAGGGTGCATCCATCAGCCCAGCACAGAGGATGAGGCAGCTTCGTGTTGTGGATGCTGCACCTTCTAACTCATGCAATAACTTGGTCTTATTAACAGGGAGATTCTTATTTATCAGAGCTAATAATGTCCTCTTTATGCAGCAAGCACACAAAGGGCCATTCACCGCCAGTTGCCTTCAGGGCTGGTCCTCAAGCACCATTCCCCAAACAGGCATCCCAGAGCAGCAGCAAAGAGCAGCCTTTGCCTTTGAGGTTAGATAAGGGAAATCAGTGCCAGGCAGTAGTGCTTGAGTTTGGAGAGCAAGGCACACGTGTGCTCAAGGTTTGGGAGCTCAGAGGCAGCATTTCACCCTGCAAGGGGCTGGGGAGCAAAGGGGTGCTTGCAAAATGTCTGGGCAGGAATGACAGGGCTTTCCAGGTCTCCTCATCCTCTCGCAGTGATAGAGAGATGAATGTTGTCTAGTTCAAATGCTAGTTAAGCAACTCCCCCTAAGTGCAAGTAAACCACAACAACAACGTGGTATTTCTGAGAATTTCAAGGAACTTCACAAAAAGCAGTGATGCAAGGTGCAAATAGCTGACACTAACTCCTGTGAAGGAGGAGGAGGAGGGTAAAGCTGAGCAATGTTAAGCAAAGGGCTTGTTTTCTATAGGAAGCCCACAGCAGATGGCCTACAAGGTGGTGTCCTGCCTGCAGACACCCTGCAGAGTAAAGGCAATGTACCAAAGCCCTGTGCAGCTCATCACAGCTGTATCCTCCCATTCACAGCAGCAGTGCCATAGGTATGTGTGCTTGTTCCCAGGCAGGAACCTCTAGATCTTGGATTTCAACTGAACAAAACCCATCCCCTTTTTACAGCAACCTGCACAGAGAGGAAAATAGGTTGACAGCATCAAACAGTTATTTGTGTGTGCTCTGGAAGGAAAGGCACCATGAACACAGCCTCCCATGCCATGAAGGCACTGAGCATCTCCAGACAGGGAGATGAGAGGCTTTATCACAGTGAGCCAGCTCATTCCCGTGCAACACAACTGGCCATACAGGGCTGTCCCAGAGCAGAGCCAGATGTTCTTCAAGCATAAGAAGTGAGGCAAGGCAGATGTTGGCAACCTCGACGATGCAGGAGTCCAATTCCCTTTTTCCATTTGCTTGAGACAAAAGAGGAAATCAGGGTTGGATTATATCTGCATGGGGGGGGGGGGGGGGTGAGCAGGATGGATCAGGCCTTCAGCTAATGTGAACCAGTGTATGCACCCAGGTTTGCAGCATGTGAGTACCAGGATGTCACAACAAGCATCTCTCGGCCTATTTAACTTTCAAGGCATAATTCAGCTTGAATTTACTACTCATGAAAAGCTGGGAATTTCCTCTTGCATTGGTTCTCCCTAATTCTACTGACCCCCTCAAACAGCTTTGGAGCTCAAACTATTCTCTTTAGCAGCAGCTGGATAAAATATCAAGCTGAAGACTATGTGTGGCTCTGACAGCAGCCAAACCCAACAACATATTTACTTCAAAGCAGGCAGAAGGATAGCTTGTCCAGCTGGAAAAAGCAGGAAGTGTGCTTTTAAAGGAGCAGAAGAAGGGGACAGACAAGGAGATGATTGTGTAAGTCCTGGTGTTTCAATTAGGTCATGCCTGAATGATAACAGGAGTTCATGAACTTATGTTCTGGACAGAATGGAGGTGTCTGGTTTGTCCGTGTGCATCCTTATCCCAGAGCAGACATCAGATGGTGTTTTATGGACAGGTAAGGAAGGACATGGTTTAGTGTGAGGTGTCCCTGCCCATGGCAGGGGGGGTATGGAACTGGATGATCTTAAGGTCCTTTCCAACCCTAACCATTCTATGATATGGGCTGTGCAGCAGAGGAGATAGAAACACACATGGGTGTCTGTGGTCATGGTGGATGCCACCAGCATGAGCACTGAATACAGCCCTCTTGCAGGGGCTTTCCAGAATGAATTTGACAGTATCAGAAGTCATCTAGCCCAGTAATTAATGCCCCCGGTGAGGTCTTGGGTTGGGTCAGAGATGGGTGGTGGATATTAGTTGGAGCCCAGATACCAAAGGCAAACACTTCCCATGGATTTAGGCTAAGCTGGTGCAGGTCTTTCTGTGTCATTGTGGCAGCAAAACACCATGGGTTTGCAGGAAGAACTGTCACTGCCATCCACATTATCTCTCCCTGGTAACTGGATGCAGCTATAGGAACCTGTAATGCCTATAAGTAAATAATAATCTCTCTTGCAGGTGGCCACACCAGCCTGACCCTAACTTCAAGCAGCTTCCTACCTTGCAGCAGCCTTCATGCTCCATGTCCCAAATGAGAGCCAGGAGCCAGCCCAGCCATCAACTCCTCCAACCACAAAACACACCAAGATCATCTAAGACATCCTCCTCCTCATCCAGGTATGTGAACAGAGCTATTTTCACACAGGTTGGATGGGGCTTGGAGCAATCTGCCCTAGTAGAAGGTGTCCCTGCTCATGGCAGGGATTGGAACTGGGTGAGCTTTAAGGTCCCTTCTAACAGAAACCATTCTATGAGTTCTATTTATCCATGAGTTTGATTCTGACTTTAAAGCAAGTGCTGTGGGATTCAAGGATTTGAGGCAGTGCTCAGCCTCACCTTGGGCAGTTGAGGACATCTACTTGTTGGCACAGGCCACCGCTTCCTCCACCCACAGAACGTGGTTTTCTTTGGCCTCATGTTGAGAAATCCATTTCATGTTCTAAACACAAATCCTCCAAAGGGTTTCAGGATGCGAAGCAGGAAAAACAAAAACAAATAAGATTTATTTCTCTTTTTTTTGCTCTAATTTGAAAAATAACTGGCCTTGAAACTGCAATGGGTTTTCCCCTCTCAGGATAGGAGAGAAGGCTCCTGCCAGCCTCATGTCACAGAGCTACACCACATCACACGTGGGGAGTTGTGATTGCACCTCACAAGGGACTGAAAAGCGAGAAATGGGCTCCGGTGAGTGAATGATTGCACAATATCTTCTACATCTCATTTCCTGCATTTGTGGAACATCTATGCCCTGGCCTTGGCTTTTTACTGATAGTAAAAGGCTGTGGCAGTGATAGGGACAACACTTCCAGGCTCAGATTGGAGGGCATGGCATGGAACTGTATCTATAAGGATGCTGTGAAAGCTAAAAGCTGGTCTGGCTTGAAAAAGCATCTGAGCAAGACAAAGCTCCCCATGGGGAGCTGCTGGGGAGGGAGCAACAGCCACTTGGCTGTTCCTTCTGCATCCAAAGAACCCCAAGAGCCCAGAAGAGGTGCTTGGTCCTTGTTCGCTTGGACCCCATTAAGTCTGGGTTAACTTGCGAGATGTTAGGGAAAATTGGGAGAGCAGGAAGTCTTTTCTGGGAAGAAACCAGCTTTTCTTGGGTTTCAAAGCGGGCATGGGTGTATGGTGTACGGTTTAGAACGATAGCAGTGCATTGTAAAACCATCTGCACAAGTAAAGTACAGGCAATAACGTTCTTGAAATGCAGTGTTTGTAGCAGAAGTGCTGTAGATCAGTGCCTCGCTGCAAGCAAATCCTCCATCTGGTCCGTAATGGCTGAACTCTTCCTTCCATATCCCCTGTTCTTTGCTGGAAAGGGAATATTGCTAATATTCAGCAAAAAAACTACAGCTGGAAATGGCAAACCAGTATTGGCTCAGCCACCAGTGCCTAATGAGAGTGCCTACAAGGGAATATAGGCTAAATATGTCCTGTGGGGAACATGCATTGGATCCCATCTGGGGATGAGCACATGGAGCTCTGGAGGTTGGGGCTTGGGGAGCAGGATTTGTCCTTGCTCAGTCACTGAGACCTCCAGCCACACACTGCTCCTGATATGGGTTTTCCAGGGAAAACCTCTATTAATAGCAACTTATGCCATTATAATGATTGAATTATATTTACATCATTAAATTTTAATTATAAATAGAAATTTATATATTTCATGTATTTCTCTATATAATCATATGTCCATACATGTTTATACTTAATATCTATCTTTATATATTTACATAGCTAAATACAAATTATGTTTTAAAATATCTAGATTATAATAACATATAAAAATAATATAAAAATGTAGAAGATATAATAGAATTATAATTAATTATATATTAATTATAATATTTACATAATTACATTTAAAATTTTATTTATAATTATGTATTTATATTTATATTTTACTTTATGTATATTTATCTACATTTCTGTTTAAATATATTAAAACATTATATTTAAATATACTAATGTAATATGTTGTATAACATATCAATATATTAATACATGATATGTATACATATAATTATAAAAATATGTTTAAATATATCAATATATAAATACATATTATATAAAATACATAAATATATTACATTTATATGTATATTTAGATATACAGATATTGTTATATTAAATATTTATATCTTTTTATACTTCATATAATGTTTATTAATATATTATTTTTATGTATTTATGAGTGTGTATATAGATATACATCTAATAAATATATGTATATTTATATGTATTTTACAGGCACACATATATTTATACATCGATATTTAGAAAAATATGCATATTTTATATATATAAATATATATATGTATTTATAAATATATATTTTCATAGCTATTAACTAATAGAGATTATATACAAATATATCTTATATATTATGTATAAATTTAGAAATATATTTGTATTTAAATATAACATATAAATATTTAAATATAAATAGCTATATATATTTATATATGTATATGTACCTATACATGTATACATGTGCATGTATATGCATGTATATATACACACATGTATACATATACACGTAAAACTATACATAAATATAATTTGCATATATTTATATTTACCTATATTCATATGGATATATAAGTATATACAAATTAAACATAAGTCTACATAATTGAAGTTATGTAATTTTATATATTTAAATATTAATTTATAGGAACATGTTTTATATAAACATATATCAACACATAAATATTTTATATTTATAGAGAAAAATATGCTTTATGCATCTTTATATGTATTTTTATGAATATGTTTTGATATAGAAATGTATGTAAATATATTTAAAATATTTTATATAGATAACTATATTTCTATTTATGTATATTTTTATATGTATATATACATATACATATACATATGTTAATATATGTAAATATATCTTTATTATATTTGCATCTTTCTTTATATATGTATACCTGTAATTGGTATATATAATTTATACATTATATATAAACATATTCATATATAGCAATATAGAAAAAAAATATATAACATAGAAATACATAGTAATAAATAAAAATAGGTATATAAAGTTATATATTTTAATGTAAATATATATTTATGTAAATATATTTATACAAATTTACATTTATGGATTTATATAGAATATATATATATTTCTATATTATGTATTCATATGAGTATATAAAAATAAATATATGATATAAAGTAATATATAAATCCATAATTATTTTTGTATATGAATACAAATTTACATATTGTTATTCAAATAGAAATGTATATTTATAGAAAAATGACATGCATGTATTATAAGAATATATATTTAAAAATAAAATTTAAAATGTAAACATCATGTATAATTAGAGTTAACTTACGTTTTTAAGTTTTATAAGTTATATATTTCTGGGCAAACTTCATTTATGCCTTACAGCATATAAACGATTTATAGCTTGTATCATTAATAGCAATAGAAGCTATTAATGTATCATTAATAGAATAGAAGCTATAAACGAAGCTTCCTTAAAGACCGTACTGACAGATGGGGTGTTAGAGCAGTGAATGAGGGCACCAGCCAGTGAGGCTCCACTCGTGCAGAAAGGCCATGGGGACACAGGACAGTGGCTGTCCTGACTTCTGCACGCTCTCAAAGAGTGGAATGCGCTCATTCTTTCCTTCTCCTCATACAAACGTGGGGTTTGTGCCTTTGTTTTCCTTCCCTCCCATGTAACAGGGTTTTGCACAACGCATTTCCGAGAACGATGATGGGGACTTTTCTGCCCGTTCCTGGAACCGCCCTGCTGCTGAATCACTGCGGGTCGCCTCGGGGTGCGGAGCCGCGGAGGTCCCCGAAGCATCTCCATTCGTGCTGCGCCACCTCCTGGTGATACCGCAGTGGTGCACGGCTGCACACAGAGGTTTGGAAGTGGATCTCGGTCCTTTCCAACCCAAACTATTGTATGATATGTCCAGTTTTCTGTGCAATGTATCTATCCAAGGGAAGGTCCATTCCAAAGCCTTCCAGGTTCTGCTTCGCTGTGCTGAAGGTGGCACCTCTGCCTCCCATACAAGCCAGAGCGTTGTTCTGCAGCTCCTCTGCTGTCCAATGACTTTGGCTGGACACCAAGGATGTGCAGATGGAAGAAGGTCAAAAAGCTGGACCACAGATGCTGTAACAACAAGGAATGCAGCTGCCACCATCACCAGGGACATTCACATCCTCAATGTGACTGTAATGAACCTTTCTGAGGAAGCTGTATTTGCTCAGTATGTGCACAGACCTTACCAGTGTGGCCATATCTGGTTACAGTTTGGTGGCAGATGGAGATCCAGGAATCCTGTTGCCAGGGAGATGTCTCAGTATCCATACAACTTGATCCTGACGGAAACAGAAAAGTAGACAGGTATTATTCTAATATATTCCTCTCTTCCAGGTAAGATCCATGTGCCAGCTTTGCTCCAATACAGATATAATTGCAAGGTATCTCAACCCTTTCCACTGCAATTTGGGATTACAACTATCTGCTACCTGTAATCCCTGCTCAGGGAGTGAGAATTCTGGTCATTTGTGCATTAATGCTGCCAAATCGCGCTCATGTTTTACAGTCATAAAATTCCACTCGGTCCAATGCTCACTTCAGCAGTCTCTAGGTTGGATGGTGAGACCCAGACAACGACATTAGTCCACCAGATCTTTGGTGGCTACCTGCGATACCGTAGTGAGTGCTCGGTGCCAGGCCCTGGGCCTGCAATCACTCGGGGCTGTTGGCGCTCACAGAAGCCAAGCCCTGGACAGCAGTCACTCAGGGCTCTTGCAGTCACTCAGGGCTTTCCATAAGTGACGCAGGAGAGATAGCTCCTGCCTTGCTGAGGACACAGGGCAGCCTCGCCAGCCCTCCGTGGGGCAAGCAGGAGGGCTCAGAGCTGCCCTCTGGGCACAGTGGTCCAGCCGGGGCTCAGCACCGGGCCCTGGGGCTTCTGGCCTTGAAACTTCCTTGCTTCCTTTTTTCCTTGGTGCTCCTACCTAAAAGCACTTCTGATTCCTCTTCCACCACCCCGCTTCCCTCCCCCTCTGGTGTCCCCTTTCCCTGGGCTCCCCTTTTGATTTTCCCCTCTTGGCTGACGGAAACCTCTTTTCTTCAGCTCACCAAGTCTTTATTTGTGCCGGTCCCTGCAGGGCAGGAAGCTGGGCAGGAGTGCCCACCACGCGCGGCCTCGCGCGCAAGTCGCTGGCAGCAGCCTCGGCACTCCTGCAGTCGAGGAGGAGGTCTCTGGCCCACCGCCGAAGAAGAGGAGACTTCTTATGGCGGAGGTCTTGTAGTCCCTGGAGGGGCTAGAGGCAGCGGGTGCCAGCTGTGACGGGGAGGCGCCGGGCTCGCAGGCCCTGGAAAGCTGGCGCATGTCATCCCCCCGTGCCCACCCGGACTGGGAGCCCACCTTGATGCAAGGAGGGAAATGAAGTGGAGGAGGGGGAAGATGAGCAGCAGCAGGCAGCTGCACAGACCTGTAAGCACCAGGGACTGCATGGGGTCATGCTTGCGGTGCGAGTGACTTTGGCAGCTGGCGTAAAAATTTACCCCCAGCTCCTCCCTGCCCTGGACAGGCCCCAGTATGTCCAAGCACCCTGCACCCTCAGGACACTGTTAGTCGTGACAGTGTCTTCTGGGGCACGAGATCTGCCTTGGAGGATGAGCCTCTGCCTCGTGCTCACCTTGCCTGTTTCCGCAGTGGCAGCAGATACCAGGAGGCTGGAGCTGGGCACAGGCACTGCCCTGCTGCCCAAAGGCCTGCACGTGACGGTGGGGCTGGCACAGCACCAACGACCCAGCTGGAGTCCGCAGTGGTGGAGCAGCTGCTTGTGGATTCCTTGGACAAAGCTTACGGCAAACAAGGTAATTAATCCCTTCTTGCCTGCGTGGGTGAGCAGCAGCGCAGCTCCCCTACCTTGAGCCCTGCCAGGGCCTGAGCTGCTGCACCCAGGTGGGGTCCTGGAGTGAGGGGCGCCAACCCTGGCCCTGTGCTGGCGAGAGCCATGGAGCTTGGCCTGGGGCTCCGTGCTGACAACGCTCCTTCTCAGTCTTGACCTGGAATGGCGGCGTCTCGGCTGTCAGTTGGCATGCCATGCAGTCTGCAGCCTCAGCGTGCAGGAAGACCATCATCGATGAGTGGGATGAGGAGTTTGACAGAGGGCAGGTGGGTGCTGGCCCCATCCCTGACTGGGCTGGTGGGAAGAACCTTGGGCCACCGTGTGCTGACCCCCAGAGCCTTCCTGCCTCTGCACAGGTGAAGAAGGTTAAAAAGCGGAGGAGGGAGCAGAGACACCAGAAACCCTGGCAGTGGCTGCACCGCCAGCGCAGCTTCTGGGCAGTGACGCATGCGGCCAAGGCAGCGAGCCTGCGCCACCGGCTCTGAGGTGAGCAGGTCCAGGGGCCCGGAGCAGAGCTGGAGGGGGCAGGCGCAGGGCAGCTGCAGGCCGGGTGCTCACACGGCTCCTTTCCTTCCAGCCGGAATGCCAGCGAGCGGGAGGAGAGGTCCCTGCCATGGAGCCCTGTCCTGGGAGCTGCTGTGGAGGGAAGAGGACACCGCTGCCCACATCTCCACGCTCGATGTCCCTGCCTTCTGCTGTGAAGGAGCCCAGGAGGACCGTGCCTTGTCCGGGCTCCTTCAGCAGCTTCCCTGCGCCTAGGCCTGGAGCAGCCCTTTCTCCCCCCAGGCCTGGAGCCCTCTCCCTCGTGCCCCCCCTTTCCCTCCTCACCACGTTGGAGTCACCGTTAACACCATCCCCTCCACCGGCCTTTCCTGTGCTGCGCATGGGGGTTGGCGCCTCGGGGGGATGGGGTGCCCGTGGCCACCAATAAAGATGTGTTGGTGATTTGGTAGTGCTCAGCTCTGGGTTAGGGCCAGCGGGGCGCGCTCCCGCAGGTGGGGTGGTGGAGGAAGCACCGGGAGAGAAGCAGCTCTTGGTGCCTGGGGGCGAGCACACAAGGTGGGCTCCTGGGTCCCGCTCGGCTCTGACTGGGGCCAGCCTCATCCTGCCCTGGCACTCGGCCATTGCTGCTGCTGCTGCTCGTGAGCTTCCTGCAGTGTCAGTGCTACTGGGGCCTCTGAGTCAGGTTCCTGTGGGTCGGCAGGTGGGTTTTCCTTCAGCAAGCATTTTGCTGAGGAGCAGGCTGGAGTCAGGCTGGCTGTGATCTCAAACCCAGGTCTCAGTGCTGCCCGTTGTGCTGGTGGCCGTTCTCCCCATGAGCCGCAGTCACCTGGGTGCTGCTGGTGGCAATGCCGAGGGTTCAAGGGCTGGTTTCGTGCCTGTGACAGTTGCGCATTGCGCTTTGGAGTTCTACCCTAGAAGTGTTTGTGCTTGGCAGCAGGGAGGTTATTGTGTGAGATAAGGTGCAAGCAACCAGCCCACTGGTGTGCAGCCGCAGGAATCCCCGTCCTCGGGTCCTGCTTTCTCTGAGCCACTGCTGTGGTGCCGCGGTGCTGGCATGTGCCGTGGGGCTGCCCATCTGAGGCAGCTCTGTTCCGTGCAGCCACCGCCGCTCTGGGAGGTGTTTTCATGCTGAGCATCCCTGTCAGGTCTAAGATGACGTACTGGACCAGTCCGGGCAATTTCAACGTATTAAAGGAAACCTCAAAAGGAAAACCCCACCTACAGCGCCCCTCGTCCCACCCGCACGCTGTGTGGTTGTATCACACGTGCCATTGCTGCTGGTAGTCTGTCTGAGTTTACTATTGCCACTTGTTCTGGCGCCGGCTCTGCGCTCCCTGTGCTCTCATTGTGACCTCTTGCCGATGCTCTGGCCCTCGGGGGGGGGGGGGGGGGGGAGCGTCCCCCCCGGCTCTGTAATAGGCACGTCACAAAGCCCGCTTGCCCGAGCGCGGTCCCCCGGCACTATATAAGCGGTGCAGGCGCAAGCTCAGCTCAGTCCTCTCGCCCGGAGCTGGGCGGGACGCGGAGGCGGAGAGTGAGCTTCCTCCCCACGGCTTCAGCACGCGGTTGATCGGGCGGAGCCGTCGGTTCAACGCGGCTGATTGGACGAATGCGGAGGAGCGGGCTTCGCGGAGTGGACGCGGTTGGAGGGGCGGGCCCCAGGGTTGGGCGCCTGTCGGTGGGCGGGCCCCGAGGGTTGGGTGCGGGAGCCGCGGCGCCTGGCGCATGTTGTGCGGTGGCGGGAGGGGGGCGAGGCGAGAAACTGCGGTGGGAAGAGAAGGGCCCAGTGCCCCCGCTCAGCTCCCGCCTCTCCCTGCAGCCGAGAGCGCTAGGGGTCCCCAGGGCGGTCATGGAGAACCTGCGGAAGGTGCCGAGGCAGGCCCGGCGGGAGATGAGCGGGAGAGGGAAGGTGCCCAGTCTGCAGGCTGAGGTTGCCCAGAGGGTGCTGCTGCAGGTGCGCAAGAGCCTCACCTGCTGTGGCTTCCCTAAGAAGCTGCGGAAGATCGGCAGCTGCAGGAAGATCGGCACCTTAAGGCGCATGAACTGGCCAGTCAAGGCTGCCGGACCCCAGTGCGCCGCCGAGGAGGAGCAGCAAGTCAAGCAGGGTAAGTACCGGGGGCTCAGTGGGCACAGCCGCGGCCCGCGCTGCACAGCTCACCCACCATTCCTCATATCCCACAGAGAGCAGCGATGCCGCAGTGGGCCCAGGGGATGGGATCCCTGCGCCCCAGAAGGTGCTCTTCCCCATGGAGCACCTGTCCATGGAGTGGCAGCAGGTGCGCCCAGTCGGCGCAGGACTTCGTAACCTCGGGAACACATGTTTCCTGAACTCCACCGTGCAGTGCCTCACGTACACCCCGCCGCTGGCTAACTACCTGCTCTCCAAGGAGCACCGCTGCACCTGTGAGTAGTGGGGCCTGGCTTGGCGGGCGGCTGTGCTGGCAGGTCCCTGCTCCCCGCGCTGGGCTCAGTATCTCAGCACGCGTGGCTGTGGCAAGGGCCATGTGGCTGTCAGGATGAACCTTCTCTGCTCCCTCCGGCCACTTCTCGACGGAGATGCTGTTCCTGTGTACAGCTCCTTTTTCCCGGCCATAGCAGCATCCCTGAGCTTTGCATCCTTGAGTCTGGGGATGCTTGTGTCCGTGGTGGGTGTAGCCAGGGCTAAGATGGCTCCCGCAGGATCTGCTGGCTTCGTGGGGACTGAGCTGGACATCCCAAACAGCCCCTGCCTGCATGAGGGCAGAAGGCTGGGTACAGGCAGCAGATGCTGTTGATGTGTGACTTTGAAAGGGAATGTGATGGGCATTGCTCCGACCTGTACTGTACTGCCCTGTCTCCTGTACTGCTTTGATCTCTACTGTGTTTGTCCCCAACCTCCTGTCATCTACTCCTTTGTCACAGGTGACCAAGGCAGCTTCTGCATGATACGCACCATGCAGAGCCACGTGGCTGAGGCTTTTGCGAACAGTGGGAGAGTGATAGAGCCAACGGCCTTTGTCCAAGAACTCAATGGTAAGAATGACTCCACTGTACTTCCCCTCCTCCCATAGCCGTGCTGGAGAGCAGGGAGTAATGTGTGAGTAGAACCTTTGAGAAGAGGCCAGGAGAACTCGTGGAGCCTGCGGGGACCTGCTGACCTCATGGGCTGTGTGTGGGGTTCCCCCGTGGCCGACACGAGTCTGCCGTCCGCTTTGGTTTGAGGGGGCTCGACCCCTGGGGCCACCGAGGGAGGAGGGCTCTGTCTCTCGCAGCACGTGCTGGGGCTGATTCCTCCCTGTCCTGCAGAGATCGCTGGGCACATGCGCTTCGGTCAGCAGGAGGACGCGCATGAATTCCTGCGTTATACCATCAGCGCTATGCAGAATTCCTGCCTGAGTGGCTGCACCAGGTACGTGGGGCCTCTCTCTGATGGGCTGTCCCTGCTCTTCTTCGCTGTCCTCTCGCTAGTCCCCTGCCTTGCTGGAGGGGACTGTGGGGTCAGTCTGTTCCCCAGGCGGCACTCGTGTTCCTGGGCCCTTGCCCCGGGAAGCTGCGTTGCCCCTGCAGTGCCCAGCTCCGAGCTCCAGCCAGGAGTTTGTGCTGAGGACACCGTGGCAGCCACGGGGCGGCCACGGTGCAGGAACAGTGTGAGACCCGGGGCTGCTGTCTCTAGGTTGGATTGCGAGACCCAGGCAACGACATTGGTCCACCAGATCTTTGGCGGCAACCTGCGATCCCGTGGTGAGTGCTCGGTGCCAGGCCCTGGGCCTGCTGTTGCTTTGCTGGGAGCCTTGTCGTTAAAATGCTTTGGGAAAATCGCTGAGCACGTAGACATGATCCAGAGCTGCAGCTGCTCAGTCCCGTGGGACCTGTGGGTCAGGAGCCCGCTTGTGGTGACAGCAAGAGCTGTCGGCTGTGGATCCCCAGCTCATCGCCACCAGGAAATGAACCTCCTGGCACCACTCGCTGTGCCAGCACGCAGTGGAATTGGCAGCCTTCCTCTGTGCCAGGCTGCGCATCCTGGTGTTCCCGTCCCAGAGCTCGAACCCGAAGAGGGGGAGGCAGTTCCCGCATTGTGCTGGGTGCCGATGGGTGCGGGTCAGTGTGCCAGGGTGTGCTCATTGCTCTTTCCTTTACAGTGGAGTGTTTGTCGTGCAAGAGAGCCTCGGACACGTACGACCCTTTCCTGGACCTGGCACTGGAGATCTGGGTACTGCAGCGGGCTGGGGACCCGGTGCTCCTGCTCTCCTGGGGCCGGCATCTCAGCAGGGAGCGGGGCTGTCGCCTGGCCGGGCCACCCGTGCGCTGACCTCTCCTCCATCCTTGCAGGAAGCCGAAGACCTATGCGAGGCGCTGGAGCAGTTGGTTAAGCCAGACCTGCTGGGAGGGAAAAACTGCTACCTGTGCGCAGGGTGAGTGTGGGGCTGTGGGCAGGAATGGGGCTGCGGCTGCGCCGGTGGGAAGCAGGCGGAAATCCACATCACGGGAGGGCTTCTCGACCTGTTCCCCGCTAAAGCGTGAGGCCGCGGAAGCCTGTGGTGAAAGCTGCCGCTCTGCCCCTCTGTCCTCTCGTGAGGAGAACCTGGGCCAGCAGATGTGGCCGTGGGCAGGTGCCTGGTGCCTGCAGGGTCATTTTCCATGGGGTTTGCCACTTGGCCAGAGCTGGCAATCATCTGGGTGGTGGAAGAGCTTGAGTGACACAGCTCCTCTTGTGCAGATGCAACAGCAGAGTGTCGGCAACAAAACGCTTCAGCATCCACCAAGCCCCCAACGTTCTGACGCTCTCACTGAAGCGGTTCACGTATGACGGGGAGAAAATCACAAGGGTGAGTGCTCGGCAGTGCCGAGCTGGGGCTGTCTCCTGGCCCGAGCAGCAGGGTGGGAGGTGGCCCTGCCGCTCTTGGTCAGCCGCGCGCTAGGAGCTCGTCCTGGCGCCTTCGTCATGGTGACCTCTGCCTGGGGAGGGCAGCCCCTGCTCCCTCAGGAGATGGACATGCAGGACAGCTGAGCTGCTCCTGCTCTAGCAGGAAACCCGTCTGCTGTGCAGGCTTCTGAGGCATGCTCTCTTCCTCTGCAGGCCGTGCCGTACCCTGAGTTCCTCAACATCCGCCCATACATGTCAGAGAGCGAGGGGGATCCTGTAATGTATGGGCTCTATGCAGTGCTGGTGCACTCTGGGTACAGCTGCCACGCGGGGCACTACTACTGCTACGTGAAGGTGAGCCCAGGGCACTCTGGGCTGGGAGCTGCTGGGTCAGGCTGTGCTTCGCTGCTGGAAGCACTCTTGTAGAGTCCTCTTGCCTCCCCTGGGCTGCTGTGGGCTTTGGCCAGAGGAACTCTGTGGGCGGGTGCGGTTCCTGCTGGTCTTTGGGCCAGGAGAGGCCCTGGACACAGCCCAACCCCATTCTCTCTGCTCCTTCTACAGGCCAGCAACGGGCAGTGGTACAAAATGAACGACAGTGTGGTGAGCCGCAGTAACATCCAAAAGGTGCTGAAGCAGGCGGCCTACCTGCTCTTCTATTTGAGGTGGGAGCGCCTGCGGCCCCCAACCCCACTGCGGGGCAGGGCTGGCACCATGTGCAGGAGAGGTCCAGCCCCTTGCCATGGTTTTGCTGTAGATGAAGAGCATCTCCCTCCTCGGAGCTGCTGACTCCTGTTTCTCGTGTGCAGCTCTGATCGAGAGCATTCCATTTAGTCAAAGACTCACAGTTAACCCGCGCCCTTCCCTTCCAGACTCTCCGGCCCAGAGAAGAGCTTGGACAGGCCCATTGCCAGAGCTGTCCCCAGCCTGACTGGCTCTGAGGGCACTGTCTCCAAAGAGGCAGAGAAAATTGTGAGCCACAGGCCCCTGTTCCCATCCCTGGTGAGTCCTGGAGGACTCAGCACCGGGCCCTGGGGCTTCTGGCCTTGAAACTTCCTTGCTTCCTTTTTTTCCTTGGTGCTCCTATCTAAAAGCACTTCTGATTCCTCTTCCACCACCCCGCTTCCCTCCCCCTCTGGTGTCCCCTTTCCCTGGGCTCCCCTTTTGATTTTCCCCTCTTGGCTGACGGAAACCTCTTTTCTTCAGCTCACCAAGTCTTTATTTGTGCCGGTCCCTGCAGGGCAGGAAGCTGGGCAGGAGTGCCCACCACGCGTGGCCTCGCGCGCAAGTCGCTGGCAGCCGCTTCCCACCGACCAGCAGCTGCCCCGGCTCGGCTCTGCTGCCTCTGGGCACGTGCGGGTGAGCAGCGCCCACCGCAGCCAGGCCAGCTGCGGCCTCGGGGGGCTCCTCGAGGTGACTCTGGCCTCGGCGCTGGCTCGGGGGTGATTTCGGCATCTTGCTCCCCTGCTCTGGACTGCCCCAGCCCCAGCCCAGCCCCTCGGCACCCAGCCTCCCCCCTGGACAGTGCTGGTCCATGACCACCCCTCACACCACCTTTCTCTATGCTGCAGGGATGCGCCCAACCTGGTGACCACTCGCTCCTTCCCAAGGAAGAGGCGGCTCGAGGCAGGCAGCAGCCTCGGCACTCCTGCAGTCGAGGAGGAGGTCTCTGGCCCACCGGCGAAGAAGAGGAGACTTCTTATGGCGGAGGTCTTGTAGTCCCCTTTCCCTGGGCTCCCCTTTTGATTTTCCCCTCTTGGCTGGCGGAAACCTCTTTTCTTCAGCTCACCAAGTCTTTATTTGTGCCGGTCCCTGCAGGGCAGGAAGCTGGGCAGGAGTGACCACCACACGCGGCCTCGCGCGCAAGTCGCTGGCAGCCGCTTCCCACCGACCAGCAGCTGCCCCGGCTCGGCTCTGCTGCCTCTGGGCACGTGCAGGTGAGCAGCGCCCACCGCAGCCAGGCCAGCTGCGGCCTCGGGGGGCTCCTCGAGGTGACTCTGGCCTCGGCGCTGGCTCGGGGGTGATTTCGGCATCTTGCTCCCCTGCTCTGGACTGCCCCAGCCCCAGCCCAGCCCCTCGGCACCCAGCCTCCCCCCTGGACAGTGCTGGTCCATGACCACCCCTCACACCACCTTTCTCTATGCTGCAGGGATGCGCCCAACCCGGTGACCACTCGCTCCTTCCCAAGGAAGAGGCGGCTCGAGGCAGGCAGCAGCCTCGGCACTCCTGCAGTCGAGGAGGAGGTCTCTGGCCCACCGGCGAAGAAGAGGAGACTTCTTATGGCGGAGGTCTTGTAGTCCCCTTTCCCTGGGCTCCCCTTTTGATTTTTCCCCTCTTGGCTGACGGAAACCTCTTTTCTTCAGCTCACCAAGTCTTTATTTGTGCCGGTCCCTGCAGGGCAGGAAGCTGGGCAGGAGTGACCACCACACGCGGCCTCGCGCGCAAGTCGCTGGCAGCCGCTTCCCACCGACCAGCAGCTGCCCCGGCTCGGCTCTGCTGCCTCTGGGCACGTGCGGGTGAGCAGCGCCCACCGCAGCCAGGCCAGCTGCGGCCTCGGGGGGCTCCTTGAGGTGACTCTGGCCTCGGCGCTGGCTCGGGGGTGATTTCGGCATCTTGCTCCCCTGCTCTGGACTGCCCCAGCCCCAGCCCAGCCCCTCGGCACCCAGCCTCCCCCCTGGACAGTGCTGGTCCATGACCACCCCTCACACCACCTTTCTCTGTGCTGCAGGGATGTGCCCAGCCCGGTCACCACTCGCTCCTTCCCAAGGAAGAGGCGGCTCGAGGCAGGCAGCAGCCTCAGCACTCCTGCAGTCGAGGAGGAGGTCTCTGGTCCACCGGCGAAGAAGAGGAGACTTCTTATGGCGGAGGTCTTGTAGTCCCTGGAGGGGCTAGAGGCAGCGGGTGCCAGCTGTGACGGGGAGGCGCCGGGCTCGCAGGCCCTGGAGAGCTGGCGCATGTCATCCCCCCGTGCCCACCCGGACTGGGAGCCCACCTTGATGCAAGGAGGGAAAAGAAGTGGAGGAGGGGGAAGATGAGCAGCAGCAGGCAGCTGCACAGACCTGTAAGCACCAGGGACTGCATGGGGTCATGCTTGCGGTGCGAGTGACTTTGGCAGCTGGCATAAAAATTTACCCCCAGCTCCTCCCTGCCCAGGACAGGCCCCAGTATGTCCAAGCACCCTGCACCCTCAGGACACTGTTAGTCGTGACAGTGTCTTCTGGGGCACGAGATCTGCCTTGGAGGATGAGCCTCTGCCTCGTGCTCACCTTGCCTGTTTCCGCAGTGGCAGCAGATACCAGGAGGCTGGAGCTGGGCACAGGCACTGCCCTGCTGCCCAAAGGCCTGCACGTGACGGTGGGGCTGGCACAGCACCAACGACCCAGCTGGAGTCCGCAGTGGTGGAGCAGCTGCTTGTGGATTCCTTGGACAAAGCTTACGGCAAACAAGGTAATTAATCCCTTCTTGCCTGCGTGGGTGAGCAGCAGCGCAGCTCCCCTACCTTGAGCCCTGCCAGGGCCTGAGCTGCTGCACCCAGGTGGGGTCCTGGAGTGAGGGGCGCCAACCCTGGCCCTGTGCTGGCGAGAGCCATGGAGCTTGGCCTGGGGCTCCGTGCTGACAACGCTCCTTCTCAGTCTTGACCTGGAATGGCGGCGTCTCGGCTGTCAGTTGGCATGCCATGCAGTCTGCAGCCTCAGCGTGCAGGAAGACCATCATCGATGAGTGGGATGAGGAGTTTGACAGAGGGCAGGTGGGTGCTGGCCCCATCCCTGACTGGGCTGGTGGGAAGAACCTTGGGCCACCGTGTGCTGACCCCCAGAGCCTTCCTGCCTCTGCACAGGTGAAGAAGGTTAAAAAGCGGAGGAGGGAGCAGAGACACCAGAAACCCTGGCAGTGGCTGCACCGCCAGCGCAGCTTCTGGGCAGTGACGCATGCGGCCAAGGCAGCGAGCCTGCGCCACCGGCTCTGAGGTGAGCAGGTCCAGGGGCCCGGAGCAGAGCTGGAGGGGGCAGGCGCAGGGCAGCTGCAGGCCGGGTGCTCACACGGCTCCTTTCCTTCCAGCCGGAATGCCAGCGAGCGGGAGGAGAGGTCCCTGCCATGGAGCCCTGTCCTGGGAGCTGCTGTGGAGGGAAGAGGACACCGCTGCCCACATCTCCACGCTCGATGTCCCTGCCTTCTGCTGTGAAGGAGCCCAGGAGGACCGTGCCTTGTCCGGGCTCCTTCAGCAGCTTCCCTGCGCCTAGGCCTGGAGCAGCCCTTTCTCCCCCCAGGCCTGGAGCCCTCTCCCTCGTGCCCCCCCTTTCCCTCCTCACCACGTTGGAGTCACCGTTAACACCATCCCCTCCACCGGCCCTTCCTGTGCTGCGCATGGGGGTTGGCGCCTCGGGGGGATGGGGTGCCCGTGGCCACCAATAAAGATGTGTTGGTGATTTGGTAGTGCTCAGCTCTGGGTTAGGGCCAGCGGGGCACGCTCCCGCAGGTGGGGTGGTGGAGGAAGCACTGGGAGAGAAGCAGCTCTTGGTGCCTGGGGGTGAGCACACAAGGTGGGCTCCTGGGTCCCGCTCGGCTCTGACTGGGGCCAGCCTCATCCTGCCCTGGCACTCGGCCATTGCTGCTGCTGCTGCTCGTGAGCTTCCTGCAGTGTCAGTGCTACTGGGGCCTCTGAGTCAGGTTCCTGTGGGTCGGCAGGTGGGTTTTCCTTCAGCAAGCATTTTGCTGAGGAGCAGGCTGGAGTCAGGCTGGCTGTGATCTCAAACCCAGGTCTCGGTGCTGCCTGTTGTGCTGGTGGCCGTTCTCCCCATGAGCCGCAGTCACCTGGGTGCTGCTGGTGGCAATGCCGAGGGTTCAAGGGCTGGTTTTGTGCCTGTGACAGTTGTCCTGGAGTGAGGGGCCATAAATCTGTGCCCCTTTTCTCTTACAAGGGGCTGAGGATGGACTCAGACCAGGGCAAGATGCAGTTAATTGGTATGAAAAGAATAAGAACTGTGAGCACAGCTCTGAAACTGGGATTTATTGAGGAAGATTTTGTAGTTATTATCTACTTAGGAACAGAGGATTTGTCAGGACAGATCAGAGTGTTTGCATCAAATCTGGCATCCTGCCTGTAGCTGAGATAGTGAGGGGATGTATTAGAGGGAAGACTCCCCCCAGCCTTTCCCAGAAGTGCAGGTATGGGGCCTGGTGCTATTTGAAGGGGAAATAAGGTCGGTGGAACCATCACTGGCTGCAGATGTTCAATCCCTGTGAGACAGGAGCCAGCTTCAGCCTGACTCAAGCAAAGCAGAGGGCATGCTCCTCTCCTGCATGCAGCGGTGTGAGAGCTAGTCTTGGGCTGCAGCATGTTAATCTAAACCTAAATGCTTTTGCAATGCAAGAAACCCCCAACTGGCTCAGTGTCCTGGGTTCAGCAGTAGCAGTCATGTTTCTCCTTCTTGGTAGCTGGTGCAGTGCAGTGTTTTGACTTTTGGCCGGGGAACAAAGCTGATAACAATGATGTTTTGGTTTGGCCAAGGACTTTGTGAGCCTCATGCTCTGCCAGGGAGGAGGGGAAGCCGGGAGGGAGCAGAGACAGGACACCTGACCCAAACTGACCAAAGAGCTATTCCATACCACAGCACGTCATGCCCAGGATGTAACTGGGAGTTAGCCGGAAGGGCTGGGAGACTGCGGAGTTGGAGGAGGTATTGGTCAGAGCTTGGTCGGGCTGGGGGGGCAAGTTATCGGTCGGCTGGTGCTGAGGTGTTGTATTCTGTTCCCTTGTTATTTCCTTTATCATTATTATCATTGGTGGTAGCAGTAGTGATCTCTGTTATACCTTAGTTACTAAACTGTTCTTATCTCAACCTGTGGGAGTTGCATTCTTTTCGATTCTCCTCTCTGTCCCTTCGGGAGTAGGGGGAGGGAAAGAAGGGGGGAAGTGAGTGAATGAGCCCTCTGCCTGGTTTTAAACCACGACAGTTCTTTTTTGGCGCCCAATGTGGGGCACGAGGGGTTGAGATAACGACAGGTCTGACCAGATTAATGGTCACTCGTCACAATGCTGATTTATTGGCTCTCAGAGTTGTTCTTGTTGATCTCAGTTTCAGAATGTAGTACATTACTTAGAGCCGGTATTTGCTGTGTTAGTGTTTATCAAGTGTGGGGCCTGGGCTAAGGTTCTCGTCTCACTGTGCTTTATGGCAATGGCTTGTAATACGGGCGGGCTCCAGCAGCAGGGCGGGACGGACGTGGCCGTGGACTTGTACCTGGCCGTCCGGCTGCTCTTCACCGGCCTGGCCCTCGCCCTCGCCTCCATCTTTGTGAGGCCGCGGGGAGCCGAGGGGGAGCGGCCCCGGGAGCCGGCGGCTGCTGAAGCGGCCCGGGAGAGCGGCCCCGGGGACCAGGCGGCGGCGGCGGGAGCGGGGCCGGAGGCCGCGAGGGGACGGCTGCCGGTGGAGGAGGTCGGGGCGGTCGAGGAGCAGAAGGAAGCGGCTGCCGAGCAGCGCGATAAGGCGGTGGAGGAGCCCAGCCCCGCGGCCAAGCCCAGCCCCGCGACGGCCGAGAGCATTCCCCGGAAGCCGCCCGCCGAGCCCCAGGAGGATGCAGGAGACCACGCAGCATGGTGAGGTGTTGTATTCTCTTCCCTTGTTATTTCCTTTATCATTGTTATTATTGGTGGTAGCAGTAGTGATTTGTGTTATACCTTAGTTACTAAACTGTTCTTATCTCAACCTGTGGGAGTTGCATTCTTTTTGATTCTCCCCTCCATCCCTCTGGGAGTAGGGGGAGGGAAAGAAGGGGGGAAGTGAGTGAATGCCTGGTTTTAAACCACGACACTCAGCCAGAAGGATCCATCAGTACTCAGCATCACGTGTGGGAGCTGGGCAGCACAAAACCAACCAAGAAGTACATTTTCTGACATCCACACTGATGTTCCAGTAACCGTAACGTCATCTGAACCATGAAGCACTTGGGAAATGTTTGTTTTACAAAGTGGGGGAAGAGCTCCTACAAAAACAATCCCAGTTTCCAAAGAGGAAATATTTCCTGGTAACAAGCAAAAAACCCCACTGTGTATCCAAAGGAAAGAGCCCTGGGAAATGCCCTTTCCCATGCACGGTGGCAGGGCTGCTGGGGCTAGAATAGATAGATAGAATCACAGACTGGTTTAAACTAGAAAGGACCTTAAGATCATCCAGATCCAACCCCCTGCCATGGGCAGGGCTATCTTCCATAGACCAGGCTGCTCAAGACCCTGAGATGAACAGTGGCAGAGGGGGAGAGCCATGGTACTGGGTAGGAGCACAGGGGCTGCGATGGCTGCAGCCGCTTGAGCCGAGTTCCTCGCTGCTGTGCTCATGTATAAATAGGAAAGCAGTCAGTTATTATTAGAGCTTGTTGTGTGGCTCTGGAGGAGCTACAGAAAACCCTTCCAAATGAGCTGCTCTGCAGTGCAAGCAAAGCTCCTGGGGTCATGTCTAGGGGAGAGCATCACAAAGAGCAACTTGAGTCTTGGAGACAGTCTTGGTCTGCCCTCACCCCTCTCTGAGCACCTGTGTTTCCCATTCCTAAGATGACAAGGCATGGAATCAACAAAGAAACTTAACCTGGGTCTTTTGTCTCCAGCACCTTCCCAGGATCTTGGAGGACACAACCAGCTCCTGCACTGTCACAGCATCCCGATGCACATGAGGAAGCTGTTTCCCATTCAGGGAGGTAGCAAAAGGAGACCTTCGTGTCACATTTCCAAGCTGCCCCAAGGCCTCCATGGATAGGCACAGAAAGAGCAAGATGTACATGTGGAAAACCCAGAAGGTGGGTCAGCCTTCTGGTTCCTGCAGGAGAAATACCATCAGGTACGTTAGGATGGGTTTGGTCCCATGTTATCCTTGTGTCCCATCCCTGCCACCCTCCTCCAAACCTGCCCTAGAGAGCAGCACCTCAGGGGGAACAGCCAAAAGTCATCTCATGGCTGAAGTCATGCAGTATGAGATCTTTCGGTAGCATTTAGCTCCTGGAAGATGCCCACATCATGGGCTAACTTATGCCTAAGCTGCTCTGTACCCCCTAATGGCAGAGGTGCTGCATTGTAACGTTATCTTTCTTGCCTCTCTGTTAGAAACTGCATTTTTCTTCTCTCTATGCATTATACCCTCTAAAATATGACCCTAATCTACAAAACAGCACCTAGGAATGCACGGAGCTCCAGGACTGAAAGACTTTACAGAGCCAGCAGGGTCAGAGGGAAAGAAAACCACCATGTACATGATCAATATATATTAAAACGGGATTTGAAATTAAAGCATGAAGAAGCCTTGATCTGGTTTTAATTCTGAATGAACAAATACAGCTGTTAATACATGGCAATGCTATTTTGCTGTGATAACAAAGCAGATGACACCAGCAATCTAGTGAGGCTCAGGAAAAGAAAGTTTAAGAGAAAATCCCTAGGTAATCTCTGCTGCATTTATCATGCTTTGGCACTCATAAAGTAAACCCAGGCTGAGCATAATGAACAGAATCAAACAGGCTTTTTCAGGTGGGTTTTTTTCCCTGCTGCTTTAAAAATCACATCAGAATATAGTCACGGGAGAGACAAAAAGGGAAGAACTCCTGCCCTGCCGGTGGTGCATGGGGAATCTGATTGTAAAGGCTTCTTCCTGTATGGCTGAGTAGACGTGAGACTGCGATTTGTTCATCACAAGATTTAAGCTCTCCTTTGCGACACAGAACCAGTGCAACAGTCCTCTCCTGCTCTGCCAGAGGTGCATAGGTAACACACATCACTTATACATCACATAACTTATGTCTAAGCTGAGAGTGTGCAAAAGCCTCAGACATCACTTTACCTGGCCAAGCACTGCTCCGCGTGTCCCAGCAGGTTTGGGGTACCCACAGGCATCGTATCCATCTGAGTGCTGCCCCATAGCACTGGTTACCGCTGGGGCTCTTGGCTAAGTGGCAGGGCTGTGGACACAGAAGCAAAGCAGGTATTTAAGAATCAGGTCTCCAACAGCCCCACATGGTACCACTGAACTCTGCTCAGGGCTTGTTTCCTCCCTCTGAGGGCAAACTGGGTCTTTGCCCTGTGCTGAGGATGTGAAAGGGGCTTTTGAGAGTACATGGATTTATCCTGGGGTTGGGTCACCAGAAATCATTAACTCCAAGAGTCTAATAAAACCATTTTAAAATACACGTGTGTTATTTAAGGGACCTCGGGAGAAAGCAGGCATGAATTGCTCTTCTCCAGCAAGGCTCCAGGTGGAGCACCTCAAAAGGCAGAGCAATTCTTGAGAGCAATGAGCAGGGACGCTGTGATGAAGTGGTGCTCTTAGGGAGTTCAGTGAGTCTGTGAAGGCTGTTAAATCTGCTCTGACACTACCAACAGCGAGATGCTGGGAACATCCTGACCTGGCTACACAAAGTGATTTCAGTGGGGGCCACTGGGGACCTCAGGTGTTTGGAGAACATCACTGAAGTGTGAAGACACAAAACTCACCCAGTCTCGCATCCCAGCCCAGCATCCCATCCATTTCAGGATACATCCCAAGAGGATCAAGTCCTAGAGTACAAGTTTTCCTGGCTCATTTGCAACCTGTTCTCCCTGAAACAGGAGCTCCCGGGCCCTGTAGTCAGCAGCTTTTCCCAACCCAACACCAGGGGCTGTCATTTAGCTGAGGAAGGCATCTCCTGAGGAGGAAGAAGAAACGCTGCAATTCAGGGCAGGCAACACATTCCTCACCAATACATTCCTCACCAAGACCCTGCTGGCAGGTGCTAAACACAGGCATGCTCCACTTAATACCCTGTGCCACTTGAAACACGTGTGAGATGCAGCAAAGAGGAGGCTTTATCCCTTGCTATTAAATATAGGAGCAGTGAGATGGGGTTATAGCTGTTGAACAAAACCAAGCACGGCAAACAAAGCACATCAACGTGATGAGCAGAGGTTGCTCTGGCATAGGACATGCCACCAGCCACCCAGGCAGTAGCAGAGGGTGATAATCCCTGCAAACCAGCACCTGGAACTCAGGCTGGGGGTGTAAAATGTATTGGGAAAGAGAAAAGGAGAAACAGGTTCAGGGTGGGATTGAGATGCATTCCGAGACAGCTGCACCTGGGGGCGGTTGCTGGCAGCCTCCTGATGTGGTGGCAGCCTGGTTTTGTAGGGAATTTTACTTCCCCATGATCACAGACACAACGTGGGAAGTGCAGCAATGGGGGAACTGGTTCAGTGCTCAGTCTTGCAGCAAATGAGGTAAAGCCCTGCTGCTGCCAACAGGCATAGGATCTAATGATTGCTGCTGGTTGAAGATGATTCTAACAACAGGAGGAATTGTGCTTTATAACATACAGGGTGTGAAGGTGGACAAAATCCTGTACAAGTTCCGCATAAGCTCTCATAGCAATGAATCCCACTGCAGGAGCATGTATTCCCAAGCACAGCCTTGGCTCTCCATCACCTGGGAAGAGCACAGTGAATGTGCTGTGATTTCGGATGCTGCCTTTCAGGGTCCTTTAATTCTGGGGTACAGCACTTTTGTCCCAGGGACCCCTTTTCCCTCACTGATTTCACTACTAGGCCCCTGAGATCTGCAAAACAGACCCATAATAATGCCCTCTCCATTGCCTATTGTGCTGAGTAGCCCGAGCTTTTAATCCTGTGGATGCAGACACCAAGAAGCCCTTGGGTTGGGGACTGCTAACCACTTTGCATGGCTCTTCTTTCTGAGGGAGGGACATTGAAGCAGAACATGATGGTGTGGCTTACCTGTGGTAGGGCAGGAGGTCCCTGTAAAGCTGGACAGTCAACCTGCTCCTCCATGGTCACCCAGTTCTTCCCTGGGACACTCCTCGTTGTTTATGGTTCATCACACGCCACTCATGAATGCTCCTGCTGCATCCACTCAACAGCCCAAGCCGGCAGAACCTGCAGAGATGTGATCTCTGGCAGCACGACCTGATTGAAACCTATAAAATATAAACAGATGTAAAGCTGCCAGTCACGCAGGGAATCAAATTAAATCAGTTCAGCTCAGCCTCCCCCATCTTCCCTTACTGCTCAGGCAATAAAACCACTCGCTAAACAAATATTTCAGCTGTATAGGAAAGCAAGCCATTGAGCTAACTAACAGGTTGCTTATAGCAGTAAGAGAGCTCTGCCCAGTGCAGGGGTGTTGTGGGGCACCAGCCCTCTCATATCAGTATCTGCTATTTATATAGCACTATATCAAACAAATAGCTCTCCACCAAGAGGTAGGCACAGGTATACACCATGACCTTGCTTGGAGCTGTGGTGGCTCCATGCAACAGCACAAAGTCTTCTCCTTCCCATCCAGTGGATGCTAGTCCAGAGTTAAGGGAGGTTTCTCACAGCCATCCACACCATCCTTCTTCCCTACTTACACACTCAGTAGCCAAGTCTACCTTGTAGAACCGATGAGGGCCCAGGGCACCTGCAAAGAGCTGATGTCCAAAACATCCTTTATGACCCTATTTAAAGAGTATCTCTGCCCTAGGTAATGCCCAGTGATTAGAATATGTTCTGCTACAGTAATGCTTGCACACAACAGCCCACCGAGGAGGGAGCTTTCCTCTGGAACCACAGTTTCAGCCAGGCTCATCTGCATTAATCTTACACCCATTAAAATCAGTTGTTCTGTTTCTAATTCAGCCAGCGCTGCCAAGCTCAGGAATTAAACATTCATGAGCCCATGTCCCTGGGAAAGAAAAAAAAAGAGCCCATAAGTTCATCTGGAGCAGCATGGATTTTTAATACAACCATAAACCCATCTCGCTGCTCCTTTGTGCTCGAAGCTTTCAGCATCCTGATGAGGCATAGGGAAATAAATAAAAGCTGAGCTTTCCACACAATTGTGTGACTCCAAAGGCTGGTGCTTCCTGGAGGCATCCTCACAAATTGCATCAATTTCATTTTACAATGAAAACCAAAGACATAGCAACACTTATCCTGCCTCAAAACAAGTGTTGCTGCTGAAACAACAGAGTCCACCCTGCAGACCACAGGGCAAGTTGTCCACTGGGTTATACTGCAGTGAGGGCAGGAGCCTGGAAATGCCACCAGCAAGAATCATCCAGCCTTGGTCTGGATAAGCATATAGAGCTCTCAGCATCCCCCAGTCCCTCTGGAGCTGTGAGAGCAGCATCAGACCCATAAGAGAGACACACGACCCAGCGTAGACCCAGCCATGAGCAGCAGCGAGCAATGGACAGGGCTGTGGGAAAAGCCAAGGCACCACATCACACCAGGTCATGCTTTGGTTGGCCTCCAGCACCCCCTGCAATGCTCGTACCACCTCGGTGCCCATCAGTCCCTTTAGACAGCTTCCCAGCACCTATCCGGGTATCTCTGCCTTTGAAGGCTACATGGACCATGAAGACTTACCTCTCCAGTGAGCAGCCAGATGCTCCCATGGCTGCAGAGCAGCACCAGGGGGAACACACAAGTTAATGAAGTCAGTAATTACTTTTAAACTCTATATGTGTATGTGCAACAAGGTGTGATTTTTACTATACTCCTAATTTAGGCCACCAGTGATAATAGCCGGAGACAAAGCCAATAAACACCATCTATTTGAAGCAGATGGGGAGTCAGAAAGGGCTCTCCAGTATGTTTTCTCAATAGCCAAAACTAAACAACTTCTCAGAGCTGCCAGAGCCCTCCCAGCCCATGAAAACACCCAAACAAGCTTTGCTGACCCAGGCTGGATGATGAGGCTGTGCTGTCTGGGTCTCTTTCCACAAAAGCTGCTGTTTTCCCTTGGAAAAAGGCACCATGTTTACAAAGTAAAGCTCAAGTAGGAAAACATCAACCCAGGCCAGTGCAAAACCAACCCTGGGAAAAGGTCAGGATTAACTCCTCTGGATGGCTTCCTGAAGAAGGAGCATAAATAAAGACGGGTTGTCAGTGAGCGCTAGCGAGTGCTGCTGCAGTTATTTATAGAAGGCATTCATTTCCTCCAGGATCTGGATAAATATCCATTAGCTTTCAAGGTGATGAATCAAGTATTAATTAACCTGGGGGGGGGGGGGGGGGGAATAGAATACGGATATTAACGTTTTAAAAGGAAGCTTCCAGCTGAGGGGAAAAAAGGAAGAGAGCTAATGGGAACTTTTCAAACAGCACCTTATTGTATGGGAAAGGAGCAATGGGCAGGGAACAGACCTGCTGGATGTACTGACTGGGACCGTCAGGCTTTGCTTTGGTCACAGGGAAATAAAAACCTGTGATCTTGGCACGCCTGCAGAACTTCAGGGTAAAGAGCTTGGACTGAAAATGCAGTGGGTGTTTTATACCTGACTGCAACAGCATCCACCCCTCTTATGCCACTGGGTACCAGAGCCAGCACAGAGCTGCGCCCCCCAGGAGACCATCACAGACATCCTGGCAGAGTGGGAATAGTCATTTCTCCTTCATACACTGATGTAACAACTGTTTTTTCCTCCAAGCTCTCCCTAAATGTTCAAACTACAAACAGGGCCCTGCTTTTAGTGCGAGCAATAAACACCCAGAGCAGCCATCAGGAAATCAGCAGAACCAGAACATGCTCTGGCTACTACACACTGACACAAATGGGAGGAGACCTTGGATCTTTCATTCCCCACCTTCCCTCTGTCCTGCTCAGGGACCAGCTGAGCTAACTCTTCAGCTTTTGGACGTCCCAAAAACCAGCAGCATCACATGGAGACAAATGGGGCTCAGCATCAGCATGAGTAACATGGGGAAAAGAGAAATACTGCACAAAGGAGATGTTTTCCAAGCAAAAATGCCAGAATGAGATGTGACACCAAATTGTACAGCAAAACAAAACCCATTTCCTGGTGGCACCAATACAAGACCTACAGGACCTCTGCACCATCCATACCATCACGCTCCTGGGTGCATTGGCCTGGGATGGTTTGGCTGCATCCCTCCTCCTCTCTGCAGAGCAAGGCAGCTTCCAGGTGACATAAATCAGAAGCCTGGACTGACTATTTTGCAACCTGAGACACAGCTCTCCCATGGCTGAGGAAGCAATGCTTAATGGAGCACAAAAGATCCTATATTAGATGTGGTCTTCAGGATGGACTTCCTTTGCCATGCCTGCGCTCCACCCCTACGTACCCAAATCTTTAACAACTTCAAGCTTTTTTCTTTATAATTTAAGAAAAAAAAATACAGCATATGCAAGCAGCTTGTTCCTGCCTGTATTTAGCTCTTTTTCCCCCCTCTTCTGCATATTCCCCAGCTCTACCCACACATACCCACACTACAGACAAACTATCCTAAAAACAGTGAGAGAGGTCTAAAAACACAATAGTAATCCAGGGCGTCATCAACTTCCAGGAATGCCAACTGCCCTGAGAAACCACAACTCCTTTGTTGTTGTTTTTTGTATGGGGTTGGGTTTTTTTTTAGGCTTTTACAATCTTGTGTTTCACCGAATGGCCCAAATTCGCTCCTTCTCTCTGCTCAGTCCCATCTCTCCCCAGCTATATTCAGAAAGCATTTCTCCCCAGCCTTGTTTAGCTCATGTTTCAGGGCAGAGCAAATGTTTGTGCAGGAGGGGGCAGGGATGATGAGTCAATTAATAGAACCTAATAGAAACTGGTTTTTAAAGTGCCTGTTCTGACTGTGAGCAGCACCAATCACACAAACCCAGCACCACCAGCTTGGTCCAGTGCCTCCTTGCAGACACAGAATGGTTTCCTACAGTGAAACTGCTCTCATCCTGCATGAAATGTGGTACACGATGAGGCATCTGCCACTTAGTGTGAAAGACACCATCACAGCCTAATAAATCACATTGCCAGAAGGACTTCCATGCTATCACCAGTGCTCTTCTCATTACATGGCCTTCCTTCTCCGTATGCTCCTGCTCATCACTATGCCTTGCAGACCTCACATATTTTAGCTGATGAACTCATCCCCAGAATAGACAGCTCGGCTAAGCTCTCTGAACCCAGGTCTCAGTCACCTCTTCTGTTGTTCCTATCACTCCAGCCACAACTTTCTGTGTCCACAAAGGAAAGCCCTAGAGATGCACCATTTGTCATTCAGATGCCATTTATTACACTGACAGCACCTACACCTCTGCCTTTTTCCAGGCATGCACTAAATTGGAGGGGGTGGATGTGAGAGATGGTGCCTATTCATTCTCCTTGCAGATGGTCAAGCCACAAAGCACCCAAGCAAAGCCACATTCTTCCTTTTAACTTTGGCCAAGACCCAAACCACCCACTGGTGGAGTCAATGTTGGACTTGCACGTTCTCTCATAGAGCAACTATCCTGGCAACACATCTAAATGCATTCATTTCCCATGTATGCAGTGCAATTTGAGATACCCAAGTATAACAGGTTAGATTTTGATTTCATGGGAGTGGTCAGGTTTAGATAAGAAAATGGAACAAAACATCCTGATCTCTGGCACATTAGAGCAGCAGTAATTTCAAGCAGAACACAATACTGCAAAATTTACACTAGTAAAAACTAATCCCATATTAAGAAGAACTGAATTTGGAAAACATCACTGTGAAAATAGTCATTTCATAACCAAAACCCTGCAGGATCCAACCAAGCTGGATGGGTACCACAAAGGAGTACAAAGACATTTCTAGAACTGCATCACCCCTCTACGAGGCACAGCATCCAGCCTCATTCACCAGCAACTGCTGATGCCACTGGCCAACTGGATTGGAATGAGAATAGGCCTGGTTGTAACTGAAATCACAGCAGAGTGGAAGGCTATAGGATCACAGTGTGCCTGTTTCCATTGGGAACTTCACATCCACAGTGGAGCTGGTAGCTTCTTTTGTAGGACAGACTATTCTGTTGCACCAAGAGGGCTCCTGCTCTGGCTCAACATGTCCAATATTGTGTCTGGGTAAAGAAACTTAACTCATTATTCAATCAAACTTGCTTGGATTTTTGCTTTCCTCTTTCCTCAGTGAGCCCTGGGGACAGCGGGAAGGGTGCAGACAGGAGAGGGCTCTGAGGAGGCAGCAAGCCATGGTTGATGGGCTGCTCCTCCAGCCAGGAGTCAATAAGGTCCATGAGACCAGTGCCTATGCCAGCAAAACAGCGCAGGAAGAGCATCAGCTGTGATTTATCAGCCAGCCCAGCCCAATGGGTGTATCTTCCATTGGACAAGTATCTTCTCATCTCATCAGCACAGTCCAGCCCATAGGAGTGCTGGTCCAGATTATAAACCCTGGGTTTCTATCTGCTTGCTGGAGATAGCACATCCCACAGTAACCCAGTGCAGAGGAACAATACTGCCCTTGGATCTGACCTCTTCAGCCACAAAAACAAGTTAATTTTGGTGTAATCAGAGAGTGACCGTTATTTGCCATTGAGCATCATAAGGATGTGAGGAAAGATGTATGTGTTTAATTAAGTTCTGGGAGAAAAAAGCAATGTGTACCTGTCTGGACTGCAGAGAGATGAACTCAGTACTTCACCCATGCCTCAAGCCCACTGCCTGTTTTCCTCTGCAACAGAATGACCAGCCTAAGCTGCAGACAGGGACTTCAAAAAGCAAATAATCCTTCCAAAAGAGCCAAGCCAGCACCTCATAATTCCTATATCTCAGAATTGGGAGTCTTCACATTTCTAGTGCGACCCATGGGCAAGCGTTCAGAACCTTAGAAACCTAAGGGAGAGCACTCCCCAAATTAGAGCATCCGGAGGGGACCCCACAGAGCTCCACATGGATTTTTCCCACAGCTCCTGCAGCTGCCAGAGTTTTCTATAGATTGCCCAGGTCTGATTTTCAGCTATGAAATAGCCTGGGCCTGAGCTGCCCTTTTCATCTGAGGAATGCACAGCTGTGAAAGTGAGATCTTGGTTCCTCGGGCTGAACTCGGCTCGAGAAGTGGGGATTTGTGGCCAACCCATCAAAATCACGTTGTGAATGGGTCACATTCATTCTCAGGCTGCACATAATGAGTGAGGAGTGGGCAGGGTGCAGGTACCACGATGCCTTTGGGTGCATGGAGAAACAGCAAAACCCACACGGAGTTTGGACAGGGAAGTAACACAGCCAAAACTCTTAACTGCATCTAAAGAATTTCTAGAACACAAAGAAAGAGCAATCATCATGCCCCCAGAGGCAGCCGAGCATCTTTCCACATTGGAAAGCACTTTCTACTCCTCTCAAGCACTCAGATCCCCTGTGAAAGCGCTATTCCTCTAAAAGAGTCAGATTCAGTGTCTGTGGGCTTTATAAAGATTAAATAACCTGTCTGCTATTATTGCTCCTTGTATGACTACACCAGAGCAGGTAGGTCTCAATGCTAGTCGATAGTCCCAAGCATCAGGGAGAAACCTCTATAGTCCCCAACGGCACTGCACAGCCAGATGCACCAAGATCCCTCCACAGCCAAACCTTCCATGTTTAATCCCCATGGAAGTCAATGGAACATATCTATGTCCTTAAAGCTAAGCACCTCTTTCAGTGTTTTACCCGAGTGTTGTGAGCAAGCCCCAGCCAAGGCAGTGCCTTCAGCCTCATTCACTGCATGGTGAGCTGGTGATCCTTGTGGGACAGTGCTCAGCACAGCAACGGATTGCACCTTCACAACACCTTTATGGTTAAGCACGTGCATAAACTGGGGTCTCCTGCCCTTCTCTGTGCAGTTCCAGCCCTGCCCGAGATGGAACAATATGGGGCAAAAACCTCACATTTCACAAAGAGCTGACAAAATTGGGCCACATCTAATGCCTACCAGTGACATGGTTTTTATAGGCAGGGAACTGAAACAGTCCCTGCAAGACCCAAGACCCCAGCCCTGATTGATGCTGGCATGTCAAAGCTGCTGAGGTTCAGCTTCCCCCAGCACGGACACAGGCTCCCTGCCTTCCCTATCCTGCTGGGAAGAGCTTGGCTCCCAACCCAGCAGGCTGACCACAAACCCTGCCTGCATGAATGCGTTGTTAAGACACTCATTCACACTGCAGCCACGGTGCTGGCTGGAAGAACACATATCAGGCTTTTTGTCAAACAAAACCCATTCCAACGGTCTGGGAGGACAGCAGAATCTGCCATCACACTGCTTTGAAGGGTTTACACTTCACTGCAGCACTTCAGATCTGCAGTTGTTTCCATAACCAAGTCCAAGAGAGCCTGTGAATAGGAAGGAATTAAGCACTCATGCAAAGACCATTAAAGTCAAGGGGGATCTTTCCATTGACTTGAGAGCATTTGGCTCCCAGCCCTGGATATCAGGGTCTGTTGTGCTGGATTTAGAGCAGGAAATGGAAGCAGGACTTTGCAGGTTTTCTCAGCAGTTGTTACAGAGTTCAGCACAGAAGCTCTCTGTGCCCATTTCCCTGCATGTAAATTACAAAGTGACTGCTCATCTGAGATGCAAGGCCCTAATTAACCATCTTTCTGTTCACTGCAGGCACCTCCTCCATCATTCCTGACAGACCTAACACCACAACAAGTTGGACTATCCCATTCCTACAGGCAAAAGGATTTCTTTATGGGTCCTGCCATGTCAGTCCCTGATACATAACCCACATACGATGTGTCAGCCCAAGAGGCAAAACCACCACAGACCAGAAGCTTCAGCAGGTCTGAAAACCTGGTTAATCTAAAACTCACAGCAGGATGAAACTCCTACTAGGATCTGAGCAGCATTTCTCCGATTTCATTCCTGCCTATTCAGTTATAGCCAACAGTTTTGCACAGGGATGTACTGTCTTTGAATGCACCAAAACAATAGATCTGCGCTGTCTCCATTTTCACATAGAGAAGAAGAGATCTGATGGGACTTAACCTCTGGAAGTGATGCTTTATAAGGAGCATCTTCCCAGGCACCCAAAACTGCCAGCACACAAACCACAAAGCACTCCAGGAAGCTTCAGGCTCTTTTAAAATGCAACACTCAGACCGTAAGTCCTGCTAACAGGAGCAGTGCTGCCTCTCTTGCAGTAAGACAGCCTGTCAGGTGAGTTTAGCGAGTGCTGCGCCAGGTACCCATGTCTGCACTTGGCATTGGCACTTGGAAGATGCTGGATCCTTTCCTGCCTCAACCCCACATCCGCATAGTTCAACACTATCATTTAGTTACCTCCTTTGGTGGTAAAAGCAGGACATTTCTGCACTCCATGTGCCATGGGAAAGGTCATCCCAAAGAGAGGAGGCTTTGATTTGGTGCTGGACCAAAGGCAGCGAGCCTGGAGTCTGCTGTGTGCTGACAGCCACACGCCACCATGGTCTTTGCAGGAGGCAGCATCCAGTGGTTAGAGACGTCCTTCCCACTCCTCGTGTGCCTGGGAGAGGAGCAAAGCTGCAAAGAGTTATTCAAACCATAGGCTTAGGGAAAACCTCTCCCTCCTGGCAGATGCTCCTGACTTGGGCTGGATTTAGAAAAACAGAGGTGACCAAGCCCTGCTTCATCCTTCAGTGGGAAATACAGAGAGACAAGAGTATGCTTAGCTGTAAGAAACCTGATCCCAGAAAGAGAAGAAAGCAGGGTGGAGAAGGAAACGCATCCTAATGCCAGCGGTGACCCAAACCAGCTCTGCAGAGCCAGCAGACTCATGGAGCCAGAGAGGACAGACACAGCTAAAAAAAAGACTGCTTTTGGTGGCTGTGACCTTGCATGGGCAGTGCTGTGTTCAATGGGATGGCTTTGAGCAGTCGAGAGCAATGTGCTGGTCCAAACTCACCTCTGCACAGCGATGGTCTGCAGGCTCCCCATGCAGGAGCATCCATCCCTATGCCCAAGCATCTCCATTAGCCTGGAGGGAGATGCAGTCACCCCAGTATGGGAAGTCAGGTGGGGCCTTTTGCTTCCAGAGGGATGTGGGTTTAGGAAATGAGCGTTGCACCCACCTCCTGCAATCTCAGTGCTTCAGTGGGACAAACTGCCAAACTCGACAGGAACCGAGGTCTCATTAGAGCGACTGAGGCTTTGGCAGAGCAAAGGCTTCTCAGCTTCCGTTTATAGGCTCCATGGCAGCAGTTCAAGGCAGGGCAGTGTGCACCATTGCATTATGAAGTCTAGACAGCGCTGGAGCGCTGCAAGCCTGAAGAATGCCTCTTCCCTGCCCTCATATATGATTCAAAACCCAGCAGCATTCCTCAAGCAGGAGCAATGTGGGGAAATATTGAATTCCTGTGTTCAAACAGACTCTTTTGCACTATTGTCTCCCTCTAAAACCTCCACAAGTCTGCCTGGATTATGGAGGTTGCCAGCATGAACTCTCATTCAGGCTCCCCAGAGGAAGGAAATGGAGAACTAAAAGCTGCCTAAACCCTGTTTTTTATTCCTACCTGGAATGAAAACAGCAGCTTTGGAGCAATTCTTGAAATATCTGCTTTCAGCCAGTTTTATTCCTCCTTTTCCTCACTCTGAGCTGACAGAGGAAACCCACCTGCCTGAGACTTCGCTGCCTCCATGGACCTCCAAGCAGTGCTCCCTTCTCTGTTAAAAGATGCTGAGCTGAATGGTGTCCAAGCAGCTGTGCTCCTGGGTATCTGAAGCCTCAAAGAGAGCAGGAGATGCTTTGAACCTAACCCAAAAGTTGAAACAGAAGTAGTTTTAGTTTATTGGAAGATTCCTGTTGTGTCTTAACTGCTAAATTCACTTCTAAAGACCTGAGAGATAAACGGCATTTCAGCAGCCCCTGAAATACAATCGGGGGAGGAAAACAGAGCAGCACTTTCCTACCCATTACCAGAAATGGGGATGACATCTGGGCAATGCATCCTCACTGTTCAGACTGCAGCAGGGTCCAGCAGCAAGGACTCAAGTCATTCAGCAGCAATTCAAAGGAGAAAATAGGATCAAATGATGATGCTTTAGACTTTGCCAGGCTGCCTCTCCCTGCACACCAAGCATGTACTTGCTTTCCTTAAGTGCATTGATAAACACTCTGGATCAGTATTAACACATGCCAGATGCTGGGGAATCATCTCCCACTTATGGCAATTATGAGGATGTCCCAGAATACAATAAAGCAACTGAGAAGATGAGCATCTGGTGGGGGTTGTCAGGCCCCAACACAAATCTATGCAATAAAGAGGTGTGATTATTTCTTTCCTTGAGTCATACGGCATTTAGCACTGGATACATGCAATTCCTCCTTCCTTCAGGGGTTCTCCTCAGGAGATGAGCAGAGCATCCTTCCTCCAGTGGGAATGCTGAGCTGCTCCCCCTATCCTGCCCTTTCTGTGCTGAAATCCAGCCACCATGTGCACCCCAATCCCACCAGCATCACCCAGCCAGAGGGACCTGTGCAAAGTGACCGTGCATCTCCATCAGACAGCACCTCCAGCCAGAGAAACCACCAGGTGAGACCATCTCCCTCTCTCTGACCTGGACCACCTCGTCCATGGCCATGTCCACTCCACTCCATGCTTCCAAGCCAAGGGCAAAACTCCATAGCTCAAGGTAAGAGAACCTGCCACATGCTGAGGTCTGTTAAAAGACATACAAAGTGGTGAAGCAGTGAAGGTTATTTCCTACATAAACCAGCCAGGAAATGATGATCGTGCACAGGGAATGCTCTGTGGATTACACAACAGTGCAGACACGTGGCTGAACAACATTTTAAACATACTTAATGGATGATTCCTAGAAGTAATAGCAAGTTTTATTCCTGTGAAAGGCAGCAGAGCCAAGCTATATTTAACAGAGGAAAGAAGCTAGGAGTAATCTCCAAAGGTCTGATAATGCAGAGTCTGTGCTTAAACATGCTCCAGTACATCTTTAGGCAGTAAATGCCAGCTACAAGGCTGGTTTTCTCAGTTTGGGTAGCAATTTTGGGACTCATTGATTTTAATATCAGAAGCAGCCATTAAGGCACCTCCTATGAGCTCTCCACCACAAGCCAAAATGTTTCATCCAGTACAGAACAGGGATGGAGGCTGGATAATTCAGAACTATTTGCAATGAGTGACACACCAGCCTTTGCCCACAGCCAAGGGCTAGCCCAGATCCATCCGTCCCTCCTGCCAGGGCCATTCCCATGAAGGTAGCTCCTTAACTCCTTCCCTATCCTCACAAACCAATTTTAATCCCATTTTCCTTCCCAGAGCTTTCTTAGACAACACTCAGAAAATGAGCTGGACCATCAATGTCAGCAAATGCCACCCATCTGGCACCACATTCTTGCCTCTGGAGGCCCCAGCAGTCATGGTGAGCATCTTCCCAGGCTCCCACCCCACTGAAATGCACCCTGCCAGAAAGACTTCCGGGGGGAATCTGCTCCTTCTTGTTTATTGGTTTTCCTTTGGGCTTTTCCCAAAGCAGAGCTTTTTCTCCATGTAATTTCCTGTGGACATCTGAAAAGAAACATGACCAACATGGCTTACAGCAGCAGCATCCGATGAAAAGCGCTGAGTGGACCCAAAGTCACATAATACACTTACAGTGTTATTTACAGTGTTAACACTGCCATAACTTTAAAGTCAATTTTAATGTACATTTGTGCTCCTAGTTTACTTTTGATAAGATTGAAATGCTTGGCGTCAGCTCCAGGTTTTGAGGGCTGTGGAGTCAATTTGCAAAGGGTGCTTGGGAGAGAGGGGGATGCTGCTTCCTAGAGAATAATACTGCATGTCTGAAACCTCTTCAAGGCTGTGGAACCATCATTCTGGATCCTGGCTCGTGTGAAATCCAAGGTCTAACAGGAAATCACATTTGAGTCAAACTCACCTTATTCCTCCCAAGAAGCTGATGCTTTTCTTCTTTGTTTAACTGTGACCATTTCTCTGTTTGAGATCTGCTTCTCGTTGTGTAGCCAGTACCTGGCTCCTCTTCTATAACCTTGGGATCTTTGACAGCAGAGTGTTACTACTGTGCCGACTACATGAAGTATGCTTTTAATGTCCCCACTAGGGGACATTAAAATGAGCTTTAAAGTATGAATTCAATCACTTAGAATAAAAACCAGTTCATAGCAATATTTGACTTTAAAAGCACTGTGGAAATGCTTAACTGCTTCGTGCACCGAGTCCCATTGCAGGGAACACAATTAAGATGCTTTGGCTCCCATTTTTCAGCAAGTGTATCCGTGACAAGCTTTCCCAAGCGTCTGCTGCAAAGTGCTGGCAGCAACACGGCAGCAAGGCTGCGCAGAGAAAGGTGCTGTGCTTTTGGGGACTGCAGAAGACCAGGGCTCAGTGTGGCCAGGCCACTGCTCCTCCCTCAGCTTCACTAAACTCAACCATTTCACTCAGTTTAGGGACCTCTGTTTAATATAGCACAGTGTTAACATCACCCAAAACCACAGAACAAGGATGCAGTCGGGTGTTCTGCTCCACTGAGGCTCGTGCACAGGAAGGAAAGGGAAGAGTGAGTATTTGCCCAGCTGGATGCTTCAGAGAACACGTCCATCTCGGTGCCTCTGGCTATGTGTCTGTAAAGCGCTGAACAACAGGAAATCGTTTGGCTTGTATCAGACTAAATCCAGAGAGCATCAACCCTGCAATTAACTATAATTAGAAATCCATTCCGGCAGCACCACGGAGCCAGTTCTCAGGTCTTGACAAGTAACCCTCCCAACCAGCCAGCTCCCATCTCTACTGCCCAAGTAGCCATTCCCTGGGCTGGCCATGCCAAGCCTCAGGCCCAAATTCCCCTTGGATAAGCATATAGAATTATTTCTTAATGCACCTTTCTGCACTGCAACTTTAGAGTATTCAATAAGAACAGATAGCCTGCTGATGTGAGATCTCATGGTGAGCAAAGATGAAGGAATCCCCAGCCTCCCACTCCAGCCATCTTCAGCCCTTCCTCTCCACCATCACCTAAATACCAACAGGCTTCTAACCCACAATGTGGATGTGGCCAAACCCAGTGCTATTTCTGCATTGCTAATGCCCTTCAGAGCCTGTGCCAGCTCTCAGAATAACATCCAGAATACAATGGGAGAAGCTCAGTCCAAAGAAAGTCAATTGTCACCTTATTTTCAAGGAGATTTTGCATTTGTGATTCCCCCAGTTAACTGTGCTTCCAGCTAAAGCTAAACATTGCCATATGAGCAAAAAACCCCAGCACTTAGAAGGCCTGGTACTTAGGGATCTAGTAAAATGACAGCAGCCCCAGCTATAATTATTGCCCTGTAATCTGCATGTCATGAATCACTACATAACGCAGCAATAGCTGCAATCACTGCACATAGTTATTTGTTCTTTGCGCTGAAATAAAGTGGTGGGGAAGATGGGCAGAAATTGAGTGTGGAGTAAATATGCAGTCATTGTCGACCTTTTTCTGTCAACAGACACTTAACAGTTTTCCTGTGGATGTCCTACACAACAAATAGAGGAAAGGAGTGCACAGGCTCTCCAAGCTGCCTTCTGCACATCCCCAAAACCCCCCTAACAGTGAGCTGAGGTCTGGGAAGAAAGGTGGGTAACCAGGAAGAGTTACACAAGATTCCAATCACAACTAAAATTGAGGCTTTTCTCTTGCTGTTCTTTCAGCCATTTGGTTCCCAGATGTTTTAAACAGCTTTCTGAGTGTGAGTTGGAGCCAACAGGGCACCCACACCACAGCCAAGGGGCAAACTTGGCATTTTGATCTCGCTTTGGGTGCGTGAACTAAATGTTCATGTTCTGCGCAGTGAAAAAGCACTGAAAATCTCGTTTTGGAAAGTGTGAGAGGCCCCATCCAGGCAATGCAATGCAACGCCAGGGTGGAGGAGGAGAAAAAACACCTCTTGTAGCCCCCAGATCTGCTGGATAAGGTCATCACTTCCAGCTCCTTCCAGATATGTCAGATAAGGTCATCACTTCCAGCTATTCAACATTTCTTTGCACATCAGCTGGTTTCCTCTATAACTTATCTCTGAGGCAACAAGGCAGATTAACTCTGCTGCCAAGCTCAGCTCTTTAAAATGCTTACAGCCAGTCAGAACCTCCACTGGGCTGAGACAGGAGCTGGTCCATGGAAAGACCAGATGGACACCAACCTGGGCAACAGGTGATGCTGAGGATGGCACCAGCCCAGGAGCCACAGCTCACCCATGTTAACACCATCAACTCACGCTTATATGGCAGGAAACCTGAGCTGCAGTTCCCATGAGGCTCATGATCAGCCTCAGAACCTACCCAAAAAGAAACCTTTCCATGTCATCAGAGATCAAGTTCAGCAAAGCCAAAGCTGCTGCACAACCGCAATTCCCACCCCAGGAGTAAAAATCACATCACATCAATACACAACTTCTGACTGAGCTCCTGCCTCCCACGTGGGACGGCATCCCTAGCACATGACTTAAACACAATGACCAAGTGCTCCACTGCAAAACAGAAAGGACAAGGCCAAATTCAAGGTTTTCTGCTGCTAAATCCACATGATTCTGCTGGTTACAATGGATGTTTATTAGTTTAAATATAGTTCAACTCTTTCTCTAAAGCTCAGTACTTACAAGTGCCTCTGTGTGTGTAATTAGCGGCAGAGATACATAAAATGGTTATTCAGTCATCTCACAGCTCCTTCTTTCTCAGTTTGTGATTTGTTCATATTCTAAAGAGACCCTGGTATTAATTACTTATTGTAGATTAAATACAAGACTGGGAAGAGGAGGAAAATCTTCCTGTGTGTGGCAGACTTCTTTGTATCTTGCTAAGTCTCCCTCCAGAACCATAGCTGTTGGTACTGAAAGGCAGAAAACCAGCTGAGCCGAGCACCTCTGCCCTGCACTAAGAAATGCAATAAGAAATACTTTCACACTCAGGCCAGGAGAATCATGCATTGATCTGCTGAGGTTTCACTGACCTCTACACCACTGTGTACTACAGAAACTATGCTAAACTCCAGCCAGCTCCACCAAGCAAGCATCAATGTGACCTAGAACACCTCTCATGGGAGCAGAGAGATGGTGGAGGGGAACGAGGAACCAAAGAATCCCACTTTCTTGAGTGAATTTGGAGCACAGGAAAGAGCATGGGGAGGTAATCTTGGTGTAAGAGCAGCACCCATATAAAGGGGAGGTCCTTCATCCCTCTGAGCCCAAACTGGCCCTCTCCCAGCAGTGATGCTCTGCCCATCATTCTCCACAAGCTTTTGCTTCCCAACATGACAGAAGACTCATTACTTAAGGCAGGAAGAAATCCCTCTGCTTATAGCACACAGCAGATGAACAAGTCCATTTCAGTGGCATTTGCCTCTGGATGAGTAACAAAGGCAGAAATGAACACCCCAAGAACAAGCACAAAACCCCCACACGAACTCTTGTGTTATGCCTGGTAGCTCACCGGGAAAGCATGATGCAATAGAAATACCCTGGCTCCTGCTGAATCCATGTGTGAACATCAATTGTTAAGCGGAATAATTCATTGTGCTTTGACTTTCACCACGGGCCCTAAGACTCAAATCCATGTTCTTTCCAAATCACTGTTATTTCCAGCCTATCTCCTGTGGTGAGGTACATAGCTAGCCTGAAATTTCCCTGCGACACCTTAATAAATAGCTTAACTCGAGATATAATTTACTAAGGTTTAAGTGTGTGCTCAGAAAGACCTATTTCTGTTGCAGGAACTTGTGCCAAAATTGGCATCACCTCTTTCCAAGGCTTTCTCCATCAAGCACGCTGTGCTTGGGTGGAGAACTCTACCTGTGCCCTTTCCCATGGACCACAGAGGCTTGAAAATATAGAGAGAAGCAAGGTAAAAGATGCTTTCCACTCTTGGAGGTCCTAGGACAGAACTGACCTTCTCAGGCCCTGAGGCTGCACCCCTGTTATCCAGGTTTTCGTTGCAGCACACACACTGCTGGGATGCAGTGCAGAAGCAGCAATAGGCATAGCTGAAAGCGATTAATATTGCCCCAAATCTCAGCTAAATACACCGTGTAGTAATCAAGGATTAACCACCAGCACCTCCAGAGCAGTTGTAAGCAGTCCAGGTACTTCTGCATTCATCCTATTCTCCAAACCAACCTTTTCCCTTCAGACAGCAAACTCACATCCTGCTCCACACAGCATTCCCTACCCTGCTGCTCACCTGCTGGTGGTGACTAAGGGTTAATGAGGAAGCCAAGGCAATAACAGCTGAACGTTCTCCTCACCAGGAACCCCTCCTTCTGAGCCTCGTTAAAACTACCCTCATTATCTTCTTGCTTCAGAAAACATCTCATTGCTGGTTCTCCAGTAAGACAGTGAGCCTTCCGCATCCCCCCCAGTGCAGGAATGAACCAGCTGTAACTAACCCCTAAAGCAGATGAAGTCAATGATCATCCTGGTGGCTCAAGACCCCATGTTTGAAATGCTGGAGGCATTTTATACAGAGCCATTTGAAGCTACAAGTCCCAGTGCCGTAACCCCATCTTAATTTGATCTGAACACTGGGTTGTGCTGAAGACAGACACATGCTCCTCCCAGGCAAACCCCACAGGCTCAGTGCAGGAGAATCACTGATTCTCCTTATTTTACATCCTATTGGAATAAAGAAAATAAACCCCACAGCATTCCTGTTGACTTCCAATAAAGTGGGAAAACAGGAGGCAAAGGTGACAAGCAGCTGAGACCCAAATAGTTCAAGCTGGTTTGATGGCAAGAGAGCCAGAGGAGCCTGCAGACAATCTTGGCGTCAATCACCCAGATTCAGTAGACCCATCTATTCTGGCAGCATTAGGAATGGAGCTGTTGTCCTTTCGAGGTCCCTCCTGGCTCCTCCATTTATTTATATTGTATTTATTGCAGAATAAGCTGTTTAACAAATTCCTGTGGCACAGCTCCCTCCATAAGCACTGAGCTCAAAAATCATTACTTTCATTGCCCAATGTTTTGTCCACCACGAGCTTGCCCTGAAGAGTTATTGCCAAATAGCCCATTCCCGGTGGCCAGCCACAGAGATGACCCCAGTGAGCAGCAGAGATTGATGTGGTTAGAAGGAGAAAAACAAATACAAAATAAAGGGGGACAAAAGAACCTCAGGAAAAGCTGAGCAGAGTTGGGGCCTGGGAAGAGGAAGGGTCTTCCCCCCAGCTGACATTGTGCAATACAGCATCCTTACCTAGTGGGAAGCAACAGACTGCTGCTCTGCTGTTTGTTTTTCAACATCCCAATCTACTGATGCTTCTTAATGAAGACTTTCATTGGGGATTGAAGTTGCAAGGGCTTCCCCCCTCCCCTCAGTATAAACAATACTGAAAACCTGTTTGGGGTTGAGGAGTTCTCTCCCTTTCCTTTTCTTTCCTTTTCAGCTTCGAAACACAAGGGTATTTTGAAAACATAAAGGGATATAGAGGTTTTGGAATGAAACACTGGGGTATTATTATTATTGTTACTGTTGTTGTTGTTATTACTACCATTATTGTTATTACTCTTATTGTTTCTATGATTACTACTATTATCACTACTACTATTATTGCTATTATTAAGCACAGGCTTTCCTTTTAAAACCCATCACTAAGTCGCAACCCAAACAAATGCATGGTTGACTTCAAACCCAAGTTTGAGGGCTTCAGCTCTGCTCCCCATTCTGCCTCTGCAACCACAGCTGAGGGCTGAAGCATTCTGGAGGTTCTCCTGTCCTTACTTGCACCTTGCTGTGACACAGCCATTGCCTTGGCAGGGATGCCCCCAGCAATGGACCACAGGAAAAGTGCCCAAAACCCTGAGGTTGTGGCTGGTTTTCATTCCTTTTATTCTCAAGCTTTCAGGGAGGGGTTGAGGAGCTGCCACCTCCTCCATCACTTTCCTCCCTCTCCCCCTTTTCACCTGAAAACACACAAAGCCAAAGTCTCTCCTTCACCCCAAGACTGATCCCTTGGCACTTCCAATGCCATCCAAACTCCTTCCCAAACCCACAGTCTTGCCTATAACACTATATCCCTGGGATAAACTAAAAGCATCCATCCTTACCCAGTTTAACAGTTCCACTTTATCTTCCTACTAAAAACCAGCCATAATTTCACAGCCTGTCTGCCTGCAGTCGTAATAGCAAACAGCAGCCAAGATTGTACTCCTCTTGCAGACGAGGAGGAGTCAGCCAGCCTCCTCCATAGAGGGCCATAATATACAAACCACATTTCACTCCTGAGATAGAACTTGTTATCCACTGATAATTTAATGTGGGTTTGGGGCTGGGGTTTTGAGAGGATATATTCCTGAGGATGAAAGTGTCCCAGTTGCAATCCCAGCATCCCCATGCCCAAAAACCAGAGTCTGACTGTTTGTGGGCTGCATGAACTGCTGCTAGGCTGGGAGTCAGAGGCTTGGGATCCATCTGTGATTTCCCATCAACAGAAGAGAGCACAAAGCCCTTTAGTTCCTCTGTTTTGTAAACAACCTTCATCCCATCCAGTGACAGGCTTTTAAATTATTCCCTCGGGAATCCCACACCAGCCCTCAGTGGTTTTACCAAGAACCTGCTGGGCAGATGAGCTATTCCAAGACTTGGGAAATGTTATGGAGAGAGGTTCAAACCCTCTGCCATGGGTTTGGGTGCCTGTCCCAGCCAACAGCACAGGGAACATCTGTGCCTCTCCCCAGCCCTTCTGCTCGGTTTCAATTGCTAACAATAGACAAAAAATAATCAAAGTTCCTCTCTTTGAAAGCCATTAAAATGGGGGGGGGGGGAAGCCTCTGAAACAATCTGCATTTTATCTTCTTAATGGCTCTAAAGCCTCCACTTGTATCCAAAAATAATTGCACTCAGCAAGGGTTGAAGAATATTCCTTTCAAATCATGGACCAGATGTTCCACCGAGACCATTACACAGTTAACTGCCAATAAAAGTAATCCAACAAACCAAGCCCTGATTAAGGAATGCGCGCACGCAGCCCAGCAGCGCCTGCACACACCGAACGTGATTTGCTGTTATTTAACCTCTAATGACACAGACGCGCCGTCCCCTTCCTCCTTGGCAAAGGCAGCACCAGGCAGCGAGGAGAGGATTGCTTTGCTTTTACTATCTTGGAAATCAGATCCCATAAACTCAGTGAAAGCGGAGCCAATGGCCACACGGCCAAACCCCCACTCCCCCCCCAACGTTGCTCAAGAGGTCAGTGCTGTTTTCTAGTCCATCCCAGCACATCCAAGACAAACAGTCTCATGCCACCACGCTGCAGGGGATGTGCAGGCAGCAGTAAGAACAAGCAACTCTGCCCATGCACTGGGCTGTGTGCAGGCCACCATCACCTTTCTTGTTACAGACCTGGTTTGGGCTCCAAGGGTTGATGTCCATCAGCTGGGCTTCAGATGGGAGTGCAGACGGAGCCTTCTCAGACCTCATGCACCAGGCAAGGGCAAGGGTAAGGGTTAGGGTTAGGAGACAGCTCCAGCACACACCAGCCACTCTCTTGGACCCTGAAGGTGGTTTCATCTTGTTTGTGCTTAGCAGTGCAAAAGCTGATTGCCAAGTAGGATAGGAACCACCCAGCCTCCTGAGCCCAGAGCAGCTGGGAGCCTGCTGAGGCCAAGAGGATGAGCCTTGAAAAGCAGCCAGGTGAGGTAGATGGGAGGAGGAATCCAAAACCATGGGCTGATGGGAGCTGCCTGTGGGTTGGATGGGGCACATCTCACCTTCTGCCTTACCTGCCCTGCAGCTTCAGAACTCATTTCCACTTTGTATGCTTCTAAAGGCTTCCTTTTATACCCTATAATTCATTTTTGTAGCAAAAACATGCTCTGGAGTGAACAGGCTTCCTCTCTCAAAGAAACATCTCCAATGCAAGTGGAGAGGCACTGATTGCTCTATCAGGTTCTCCGGGGCTTTTCTCTGTGTTGTTAGCTAACAAAAATGTGTTCTTAATTTAAGCATTTAATCCAAATATCTCCCTTTTAATTACAAGCTGAGGAAGAGCAACAGCCCAGAGCAACAACAAATGCTTCTCTTACTGAACCATCACAGCAGGGAGCAGGGAGCGATTTTACACAACCAGGGTGAATTCAAACCCCCCAGAGCTGGGGGGTTCAGGCAGAAAGGACCCCACCAAGCTCCCTACATGAGGTACCACCTTCCCTGGGAAACAAACCCATCATTTCAAGGGCAGGAGGCTGCATCCATGCTGGGACATACACCTCAAAGACCACAAACACCTACCACTACCATGACCCACTGCTCCCAGGCACAGCTTTTATAGGCAGCACTGCCCCTGATTGGCCCATCCTGACCACGCCAACTATGTGAGGCTCCACCCCCTGACGGTGGCTCCGCCCCCCAGCCCATGTGCTGCCCATCACCCCTGCCTGCACCCCTGCCCATCTCACATCCACTGTCACCCCCGCCCATCACCCTGCTCACATCCCTGCCTGCACTGCTGGATGCTTTGCAGCTGGCAAAGGGGAGATCTGCTGCTCCACAGGCAGGAGAATTCCCATTGGATGCTGCCAGCCAGGGGCTTCAGATCCAGCAGCCAGGCAGGGAGAGGGCACTTGGCCCTGGCAGCAAAGTGGAAAGGGAGGATGAAACCCCACGAGGGTCTTGGGCACCTCCCTGAGCCCTGTATGAAGTGTCCAGCACACCTGTGCTCTATCTGGAGCTATCCCTTGCCAAAAGCCTGGGTCAGATACAACCATTGAGCGTCTGCTGTAATGCAGGAGCCCAAGCAAGCAGCTGCATCTTCCATATCACATTATGGGTAGCAGGGAGTGCGAGAGGAGGGCAGTGGAGGTGGCCAGCTCCGGAGGGGCTCCAGCCGGGATTGGCATTCGAAGTCTCATGGAGGATGGGAGGGAGCAGCCAAGCACACAGGGACAGCCCATTGAGCCCCGGCTGTGGAAGCAGCCAAAACCCTCTGCATCACAGGGTCAAGGAAACAGCAAAGACTTCGGACATGAACCCGAACATGAATTCCAGAAGAGCTGGAATCATCCTGGTTTTCCCCTGGGAGGGTCCAAGCTGCAGCTTTGCCTCTATTTACAGCTCTGTGCTAACGCATCCCTAGCTCCTTGTGGTTTTCTCCCTCCTTACCAGGAATACAAAGCAGAATCATCTTTATTGAGCACCTCCATGAGTGGGGCAAACCCCTCTCTCCAATGCACCATGATCTCCCTGTCCCCATCACATCCCTGTCTCCTTAAAACAACGGCTGCTGCTGGCTCCAGTGTGTAAAGAGGAAGAAGTTGGAGCTGGAGCTGAGCATGCCCACACCACAATGTGCTCAGACACAGCTTGGCTCCTCCAATTCATATCTTTATATTCTTTATAACGCTGCGTAGCTGCTTTGGCATTTAATCCCTGTAATTAATGGGAGAGTGAGAAAGGGATAGCTCTCATCTCTTCTCCCTCTTACAAACACAACCTGCAGGGTGGGACTGATTCAGTTCCGTAGCATTTCAAGCCGAGTAAAGAAGACAAGAAGCAGCAGACAGAGGCATTTACCTTTTGGCAAGTACGAGACGTCTCTAAGGAAGATGATATTTAAATCAATAACGTGTGAAAGGATCCAAATTACATCCCCAAATATTTAAAGTAACGTGTCCGGAAAAACAAAAGGAATCTCTTTTGGTTATTAAAAGGTGACTTTGACAATGACCTGCCTGGTTCCTATCTGAAACACAGAGGAAGTCTTCCTTAGCAGGAGATGTCATCATGCATTTATTTAAAGCTTTAATGATATGTTTGGGGACATCATCTACTCCTGAACATTTCTCTGCTGCAGTCGTCTGGAAGAAGGAGCTTTTTTTTTTTTCCATCTTTAAATAGTAAATGAGGACAATTATCCCATGGTAATTCCAAATGAGAACTTGATTCCGCTTTAGCTGGTGGTGTCCTGTCGAGGCAGATTGTGCAGGTTAATTTTAGGAATGCATTCCCCCATCCTGCTCCTCTTGAGACTCATGGAGGGGGGATTGGTCTTCACCTTCCAGCCCATGGACCAGTGCACAGCCTGGCTGCAAGAGCAATGAACCAAGGAACTGGAACACGACAACATGCTGAGGGATGAGTGTGGGATGGAGATGGGGGATTCCCGCCCTGCTCCCATGGGATTCCAAGCTATGACTGAGCATGGAAGTGGCACTGGGCAAAGCCATAGTGCTGGCACTATGGGAGCATCACTGAGATGCTCTACATAACAGTGAGCAGAATGGCTTTGCATTCCAGCTGGCAGTCCCTAATGCTTTGGGAAGGACCAGAGCGCTTCAATCTGTTACAGATTAATGGGATTGACTTATATCTCTGTTTCTTTTTAATTAGTCTCATTAAAAGCAGAACAATCCTCCTGTGGAGCACACAAATAACACAGAGACTCCTGCCCAGCTGCTGCTTGGCTCCTGATGCATTCGCTCAGAATTAGCCCTGCAAACCAGGAAAGATTTAATGGCTTCTGGGTGAGATTAGCAACAGGGAAACAGGGCTGGGAGGATTAGGAGGGAAATGAGTATGAGCCAGTTTTTGATGGAGCGTTTGCCCAATGATGTTCTTCAAGTCTAAGGAGAGGCAGTGAGTGTCCATCAGAGGGATGACAGATGCGGAGCTGCATTTCTTCCTGGTGATTCATTTGGGTTTGGTGAATTACAGAGTTTATTTTCAGATGGGCCATCCCATCTTTTACTGAATTAAAATAAAGGAAGAATCCTATCATTAGCCCCAGGCCATTACTTAGTGTTGGGCTCATGGTGGTGCTGCTTTGGGGAAGAGACCTCTGGCCTATGGAAGGGCTGAAGACCCCAGGTTCCCCATGCAGAGAGTGCTGCTGCAGCACAACACCTCTTTGCTCTCTCCTAAGCAATGTGGCCAGATTGCTGCCAAACATTATTCCCCTTGTTCCATCCAGTTTTATGTCCTAAAAGCTTCTTTTCTCCTTCAGTATCAGGAGGACCAGCTCTTAGGCTGGTGGGAGCCCTTCCCATCCTGCAGACCCTAGCCTCTGAGCAGAGCCCCTGCCTGCCCAGTGCCCCCCAGGGCCTTGCCAATACAGGCAGGACCCCCAAATTTTCCTTCTTGCTACTTCATGTGTGGTTCAGTACATAAAGGACTCCAAATGTAATCATTATATCAGTTCTGTTCCCAAAGAGCACAGAAACATGGGCACAGCCAGTGCCCCTGCGCAGAATCATAGTCTGTGTTGGAAGGGACCTTAAAGCTCATCGCATTCCAATCCCCTTGCCATGGACAGTGACACCTTCCACTAGACCAGGTTGCTCAAAGCATCACTTGATACTTCCGAGAAGCAGAGCATCATTTGCTCCCACCAGCCCTCACCCACCTGCAGAAGCTGCAGTTTCTCCTTCTGATTTTTCTGACATACCATAGAAAATACGTAAAAGTTGGTATTACAGGAAGAAAGGTCAGAGCAACCCCCACCCCCCCCAAACCTGAACCCAAACTCTTTAAGTATCAAAAGACAGAGCAATTTTGAAACTGCATTTCTAAATGAGAGCATTAACTAGACCCTGTCTTTCAAAGAGCAAGAGACAGAGGGGACTGATGCTACCACCCAGGCCAGCCCAGGGGACCACTTTCCCTCCCCGGCAATAGGAGCACCACAGGCTCTGGGATGGATGCTTGGCCAACCGCTCCTCTGATGCCTGTTTGTATACCCCAAACCCCCCAACCCAGCACTTCCCAGAGCCTCCCCTTGCAGCAAAACTGAGCTCTGCTCCAGCCATATGAAAACACCATTGACTTTCCCCTCCTTCTGCAGCTTGTTTTCTGTCCTCCCCTCAGCAGAGCGCCAGCACCAGCCCAGTCTCGTCACGTTCCCTTTGTTTACAGCCAGTTTCTCTTCCATGTCCCTCCCTTGGCACGGTGCTCCTCAACCTGCCGCTCGCTGTGCTCTCCACGCTGAGCTGGATGGGTCCCAGCCCCAGCACATCCCCGCGGCCGAGCCTCTCCCAGCAAACTGCAGGGAGGAGTTTCCTCAACTCGTTTGTTTAGGAATTAAGAAAATAAAAGCCAAGGCTGATCCGTGCGCCAGGAAGCAGCGCGGAACGGCCGCAAGCCCTGCCCAGGCACCCGGAGGTGCTCACTCACCCCATCCCCATACACTGACCCTAACACAGCCCCCAGACCCCCGCAGCACCGGCCTCAAAGCCCCGGCTACAGGCTTTATCGGGGGGGGGGGGCACTCTCCATCTTCGGGAGAAACCCCGAAGGACCGAGGGCAGGCGGGGGGAGACCGGGGCGGCTCCGGGTGCTCCGGATGCTGCGGAGGGGCGGGCGGCAGAGTCCGGGGCTGCTCGGTCGGTCCCCGCGCAACCTCTCCCGGAGCCAGACCCGGACCCGGGCCCGGATCCCGGACCCGCTCCCTCCACGCCGTCCCCAGTCCCCGATCCCCCGCCCCGGGCCCCGAGCGCCCTGCCCGGTCCCCGC